AATATGTGTCTATTTAATGATATCCTTCTCTACAAGTGAGCCAGACTCATTTGTTTCTCAAATGATCGGAATGATCGGCCGCAGATCCCCAGATGGTTCAAGGTTGAGGTGCTAAAGGAATCTGAAGGCTTTTAGCTTATATAATCTTATATACACACCAAAAAAAGGCATTGTGTCCGAAGTATATCCATATCACCCCCCCCTTTCATCTTCTTTCCTGCGTTACAAGATTCCACGTATGTTTGGTTTTGTTGATTTACACCCATATGACCCATATCGTCTCTGCCGGAAAAAAATACCCTCCGATAATTAACCATGGCTTGCTGGAAAATCCACCATTTGGTTCGATTATTTTCCCAGCTAGAAACCTCCATTTGAGTAAATGTCGTCATGTTGTCCAGGATTTTCCATTTTTATAGTTAATTAATGCTGGTTACCTATTAAAAATGCTGATGTTCCAGTTCTCTATGTTCGCTTACCAGAGGCTATCCCAATTGCCATGGATTTTCCACCAGCTTCACCAGGAATCTCCCGGGCTTCCTGTGTGCAGCTTTATCCCACAGGCCAGCTTGGTTGTGCTTTATGATTGGAAATCAAAAAGGTGGATGTCATAAGGATTTTCATCAAGAATTGGACTTTCAAAATAGGATGATTGGGCCCCAATTGATTTTCATATGGTTGGAAAAGGTTGAAAGCAGAAATCAGTTTGCCCTTCATCTGATTCCTTGCACAAGCTAATATCCTATATGTAGGCCCTTTTGTGATCCTGAGATGATCAAGTCAGGAAACGGTGAGTGGCTAGTCTCTGATATCCCAAGTATGGGGGCTTACAACACCAATTTCATTTACTGACCTATGAGGTGTTTGGTTTAACCTTTACCGGGTACTTGAATAATTTCTTCCGAATACTTCAATGTTTTGCTTAGCAACTGGTGGATATTCAACAATAAAGTGGTGATGTAATTCAAGTGAACAGCCCCCAGTTAAGTGATGTAATTACATGTAATTACTATAACTTAGCTGAAAAATCTGATGTAATTTAACTCTTGCTGTACCTCTTGTTGTCTTCGCCACCACCATGGCGGTTGTGTACCCGTCCCAGGCACCTGGACATGTTTGTGGAGCACCACCGAGAGCTTGGTGCGCGCTGGGCTTTTCGGGTCCGAGCTGGGATTCTGAAAGGTTGAAACGACCACATTACAGCCCTGGCTGAAAAGACTTCATGTAAATGGTGATAAAATTATATATATACATATATTATGTGTGTACGTTGTATAATATTATAAGATTATATGTATATATATAGCCTGAATTACAGGAATTATTTCATCCCATTTATAAGTGTTGAGGGCCAGAACTGTACAGTACCCTTTTGAAGTACCTTAACAAATCAAGTTCCAAAAACTGATGAAAATTACTTTACTTCGTGTGATCCCCACCATGACATTTATACATTTTGTTACTGGCAAATCTTCTGGCATTCTATCTGACATATCTTCTGGCATCTTCTGGCATTCTATCTGGCATATCTTCTGGCATTCTACCTGGCATATCTTCTGGCATATGTTCTGGCATATCTTCTGGCATTCTATCTGACATCTTATCTGGCATTCTCTCTGGCATACCTTCTGGCATTCTATCTGGCATATCTTCTAACATTCTATCTGGCATATCTTCTGGCATTTTATCTGGCTAATCTTCTGGCATTCTCTCCGGCATACCTTCTGGCATTCTATCTGGCATATCTTCTAACATTTTATCTGGCATATCTTCTGGCATTCTATCTGGCATATCTCATGGCATTTTATCTGGCATATCTTCTGGCATTCTATCTGACATTCTATCTGGCATATCTTCTGGCATTCTATCTGGCCGTTGAGGTCCAGCGGTGCACACTGAGCTGGGCAGGTCCCAGGTTGAGGTCCAGCAGTGCACACTGAGCTGGGAAGGTCCCAGGTTGAGGTCCAGCGGTGCACACTCTGACGGGTTTTCCCAGGTTGAGGTCCAGCGGTGCACACTGAGCTGGGCAGGTCCCAGGTTGAGGTCCAGCGGTGCCCACTGAGCTGGGAAGGTCCCAGGTTGAGGTCCAGCGGTGCACACTGAGCTCGGACGTTGGCGAAGAGCTTGGCGAAGAGCTTGGCGAAGAGTTGGCAAGGCAACAGTGGACGTGGAAGTGGAGGCAGAGGTGGTGGAGGAGATGCTGGCGGAGGAGGAGCAGGAGGATAGCTAGCCGAGGAGGAGAACAACTCTGATAAAATCTAACAACCCTCACCTGGCAGGTGGGGAATAACATTTTTTAGGTGAAACAACCTGAAACAGCCCAACCCGAGAGTTCTGTTCCCTCGCATTCACGTTTTGGTTTTTGATTGATGAACTCTGTTTCAGGTCACCCTGTTTGCTGATTCCCTCAAGGTTGTAGCACGGCTCATTTTGATCAGCAACCAATTTCAGTCACTTTGAGTGGGACCCCCTAGATATATAGTTTTGAGTAGATTGCCATGACTCCAATAACTATACGCTTTATGATACTTATAATATCTGCAAACTATGGTTGATATATAACTCCACTAGTTATTGTTCATAACTCCAATAACTATTGTTTACAAGTTCAACAACTATGGTTTATAGCTCCTATGACTGTGCTTTATGATACTATTATGATATAGTTACTGGTGTCTCTTGTTAACGAACAAACATAATGTTTGGGGGGCCCCACATTGCAGCATGACTTCTCCTAGCCTCGGAATCAAAATGAGCACTGCCATGCCCTCACCTTGACCATCATTTTCCCACACATATACATATACATCTATATATATATGTATATATGCATAGAAAAAATATATGCATAGATAAATATACATATATATAATTTACATTTCAATACAAATACAAGTACAAATACAATACGCTACACTACTATACCATACAATACAATACATTCTATACCTATAGACCCTCCGTTTGTACCCATCAAATCGGTGTTATACATGTTTTACTCCATGAGTTGTTTTGGATTTTCGAGTAGCTTTACCATTTTTTTGGAGGAAAATTTTGAGGGTCTTATGTGGGATGGTCTCGATATACAGATGAGTTTGCCATGGATGGGATGTTGGCCACTATCCCCAACAGCTCATCGATATCCTTTGGGTGTGGGGCCGGGAAGTCAATCTAAAAAACAAGAGATGCCAGATGTGGGATTGCTCACATTTCTACCTTAAAACTTAAGATTTGAAACCCTGCCATTTCTTCAAATCAGCTTGAAAACCCCCAATCAGCTCAGCTCCGAGGCAAGACAATTCTTTACAAGTTCCCCTTCAAGTCGTAGCCCCAGTGCTCCGAAAACTGGCTGTTCTGCTGGCTCCGGCCGAGCCAAGGCCAGAGATTATTTCTACAACAAGCCCAAGGACGCAAAGCGATGTGAGAACTTGCAGATGGTTTGCAAGTTTACAATATCCAAAATCATGAAAACCCAGATTAAAGATCCTCAGAGCATACCCACCGACATAGATATTTTGTCAACATGGAGGTATGTTCACACCCATATTGGATGGGTACTTTGCAGGTCTAGCTAAGAGAAATGTTAAAATCAATAAAACATATCAATCATGTCCACCATGCCTCACTGGAATTGTTGACTTTATCCCCGCGCCAAAATGTACGTGCTCCGCAGTGTCAGGAATATTGAGCACATGCTCAAGGGCAATTTCAGCAATTTTGTGAAAGGCCGACTGTTTTCACCGCACCATTGATGGGAGGATGATCGTGAAGGTTATATATCAGCTACTCCGTGTTTTTGTGTTTGCTTTTAGACATAGCCCATAGCCATGGAAAGTCACCGGTAAAAAGAAACAACTAATCTATGTTCATGGGCCATCCTATACTGGTTGGTGGTTTGGAACATGATTTTTATGTTTCCATTCAGTTGGGAATTTCATCATCCCAACTGGTTTTCATATATTTTTCAGAGGGGTTGGTTGAAATCACCAACCAGCTATACTTATTGAACCTATAGATTCTAGATATTATAGGCCATCTATCCACTATAGATATTGGATTTTTGATCAAACGGTGAGTTGATGTGAGCGGTTTTAAGATCGCCTGCCAGGATGGTGGTTTCGTGCTCCTCTCACTCAGCTGCCTTTGACTTAAGACGTCCGCACTGTGCAGTCTGCATGAAGAAACTACACTGATAGTGGGATGAGATGTTACTTTGATACTAGTTCCACACCACCCTCAACTGAGTTCAAAACTGAACGGTGTTTCGAATCGCTTCGAATGAACGTAGTTTTCCCAGCAAAACCTCAGTTTGTTCGGGGGATTTCCCAGCGGCCTGCCATGTTTGATGACACCGGATCCATGCCATCCGGATCCATGCCACTAAGGCTTGGAGATGGGATTTTTAATGCTGATGGCCCGTCGATAACTTGGATCGGAACGGTCGGAACGCTGCACTTTGTCATGCACTTTTGCAAAAACAGATTTCAGCAGTCACGTGGGTTCTGAGAACAGAAATAGTTCACTCTATGTAAGGGATGGGGAGAACCCAATTCCATCGGTTCATCATGGTTTTCTCATTCGAATGGCCATAGCTTAGGGAGTACGAAGCATTGGCATTGTCACACATCCCCTATGGATAGAAACCATGGAGAGCCGCAGCCCCTTCGTGTTGCCATGAACACAAAGCTTCAGGTGACCAATGACAGGCATCAGCTTACCAGTGAAGGGTTGAAGGGTTGAACGTGGCAAGAGATTTTCCAACGAGAGATATGCAGCTGTCTCCAGCCCTTAGCTGTGTCATTTTTTATGGTTCTGCAAGCCAATTGGTGCCCTCCAGGAAAAGTAGAATGTATAGTGGATCGAACTCTCCAAGGGCAGTCAAAGTGACCACTTCCAGAGAGTTTCTTAGGACCTCAAACCAGTTGATGATATCTTTGTTCGTCTCCCCGAATGACCTAGCACTTGATCCTTCATCAGTTCTTAAAAGAATATCTGGTTGGCTATGTCTTTGGTTGCCATGGCCGTGCCGACGTCCCGTGTGGCCTGACATGGCAAATGTCACCAATCTATACTTGGACATTGAGCCAACATTACAAGGAGGAGTATGGCGACGAAGGAGAGCCGCACCACATCACCAACCAGTTTCAGGGTATCTCAGTGTTGATCCATGCCCAGATATTTGTGTTTCTGGAAATGTGTGTGGGTACTCCCAATGTTTGAAGTTGAATCGGGAAAATGATGATCCACCAGATTTTTTTTGGGACCCACTTTTCAGACAAACCCATATACGTGATTCTGACAGGTAGTGTCCCAAACACAAAACATATAAATTCTTTCTTCGAGTGGTCCCACCAACTGACATTCTATCTCACAAGTATTCTGATGTTCTATCTGACATATATTAATTATCATCATATATTACGACATTCTATCTGACATATATTCTGACACGTATTCTGACATTCTCTCTGGCAGTCTATCTTACATATATGTCTGGCATTCTATCTGGCATTTCATCTGGCTTTCTGTCCGACGTTTTATTTGACATTCTTTCTGGCACTTGAGCTGGCATTCTAACTGACATACTATCTGACATTCTATTTTGCATTTTATCTGACTATCCGGCATTGTACCTCACATATATTTTATATTCTGACATTCTATTTGGCATTCTATGGGGCATTCAAACTGGCAATGATCTGACATTCCTTCTGGCATTCTTTCTGACATTCTGGCATCTGTTCTGGCATTCTTTCCGGCATCTGACATCCCATCTGACATTCTTTCCCTGCGACCGAGCCGGAGCTCCCTGCCGTGGAGCTTCTGGAGCTGGATTGCTCCGCCGGAGTCAGGGAAGGAAGGAAGGCATTCCCAACGTTGCACCTTTTTGTTAAAATCTAGAGACCCGCATTTGGCAAGTGGGGAATAATAGACAATAGTAGTAATAGGAACTCCACCCACAAAAATGGGGTAGTATGTTATTTGTGCTTTTCAGACCCTGTCTTGCCGTCCCTAAAAAGAAGGATGATGATCCACTTGTTTATGGCCCTCTTGTGGCTGTTCTATGCTGTCTTTGGATCTTCGGATGTGAGATTTTGGGGGACGCCCGCTGCCCACATCAGGTTTTTGAATACAATAGCATCAGTTTTTTGGGCTCCAAACTTGTTTCGGACATAGGCTCTGATACGCTGCGAACAAGTGTTTGTAGTCAATAAGTTGAACGTGATAAAATCAGGCTCATGTTTCCTGAACCGTTTGATATTTTTGGGTACCAGGTATGTATGTGCACCTTTTCCTGGTGGGATATACTTAGGCTTACCTCGCAGAAGTAAAGGTAATTTGCCCAGGTATGCATCTAGGTGGATCGTATTTGCTAATAGTAAATCGACAGAGATACGAAAAAAAGGCACCACAAATGTATAGATCGTTGTTCAAACGGGAAACAACGCCGGATTTCCATATTATATTATATAATAATTTACCCACAAAAATGATGGAAAAAGGCCTGGGAGTCTGTGCCAGCATTTACCCCAAAAGAAATGATACAGAAAAAAAGGGACCGTGGTCACGTGGTCCTAAAATGGTTTTATATGGTTTTAGTTTTATATGAAAAACACCAAGATGATGTAAGTTACCCTCCGGGAATCAGCCATTTAGACTTGATTATCCCATTAAAACCTCCATTTATAGGGGACTTTCCAGCCACGTCTGATTACTAGAGGCTATTGGTCATTTCTTTAATAGACGAAGCACAGGTTTTGGGGTCGGCATTCCGGTCAGGATGTTGCATGGCTCCCCAGCGGCCTCCGCAATGGCGGTGGGTGGTCGAAAAGAATGGTCCAGGTGCGCCCGGGTGGCAGAAAGTGATGGAAAGGGGTGGTTGAGATGGGGGTAAATCATTTGAATTTACTGTAATCTACTGTATGGATAAAAACAATCACAATTGATACTGCACATGTGCATATAATGACAATTAATGATGACATATATATATATATATGTATATACAATACTATACATATAGTTTTTAGTATACTATATACATATTTACTACTGTGTGTATATATATATATGGTCAGCGGCCCCTCTGGGGCCTACATTTTCTTTTGTTCAGAGGTATATTTTACTTTCAATCACTATATACAAAGGTTAGGTAAGTACAAAAACATTGTAGATTACAGGTGAGAACACACTTTTTCAATGATACATATACTTTATTCATATAAGGAATCATGTCCTGACAAATGTTGAGTATCTGGAGGCCGAATTTCGGCTCTTGGTAACAAAACAAACAAAGTTGCCAGATTTCAAGAAATGACACTGAAACCAAAAAACAAAAAACATCTTTTGAAATGGAAAAGATGTTTTCACCTCAAAGTTTTGTTTTTTTTGTTGTTCCTTGAGTTTTTTGTTTTTTTTTGGTTTCCCTCGAGAGGGTGTGTGGTTTTTTGGTTTCAGGCCTTCAAAAACCAAAAAACAAAACTTTGAGGTGAAACCATCTTTTCCATTTCAAAAGATGTTTTTTGTTTTTTGGTTTCAGTGTTATTTCTTGAAATCTGGCAACTTTGCTTGTTTTGTTACCAAGAGCCAACCAGATGAGAGAGTTGTTTGCAATGACAATGCTTGGATAGCAGAATTGAATGCAGTGGGAAATGATGTTCAGACAGAATCGTGACAGATGGAAGAGGTTCATTGGACAGATGAATTTGGCAGAGGGTTGGTTGATGTAGTTTACTGAGTAATGATTTTTTGCATGTATGTATATGTTATATCTTAATCATATGTGTGGTTGTGAACAAAATATTAATCAATTTATATTGTTTAAAAATGTAGGCCTCAGAGGGGCCGCTAAGCATATATATATATAGTATGTATATATATATATATATACATATACTATACACTATATAGTATGTATCGTATATATTTATAATATATGTATAACTTTTGTAGAAACAATTGGATTCTATCGAATATGGCAGACATTATTTAACCTGGCTATGGAATATTCATCCATGTGGAGATGGGATAATCCCATGTTTTTCCAGTAAAGCTTGGGATTGCCCATTGCCATTTTTTTTTACCAGAGGGTGAATCATGGGAACGCGATGCGGAAATGAATCACATTGTATCTACAGTATAGATTCTAGCATCCCTCCAACCATCACCCTGGGAATAGCCACTTTTGAGGCTTTTGGAGTCTTTTGTCTCCAAGCCATGGCAGGGTCTGTGTTAGTTTGAGGGGTGGTTATCAACAACATTAATTGTATGTTGTCATCAAACATGATGGATTTACGGCGAAACATGGCCATTTTGATGGGGAACATCATGGCAATGCAGCGGTATTTCCGAAGGTAATGACAGCATCAACTGGTTGGTGGTTTCAATTATAACGTGGCAATGGAAAATCCCATATACAATTGCCACGTTTGCTTGCCGGAGGGCATAAGATATTTCAGGAGGGTTGAAAGTTGAAACCACCACCGACCAGATAACTGTGCCCACAGTAAGTAACCCATCATCTAACAAAAATTGGGATGCTGATTCGTATCGAACATTTAGCAGTTTATGGCCAGCCAATGTCGGTTGTTTGCTGGAAACTGCATAGCCCTCATTTTCTCAGAAAAATTGCGATTTGGGGTAAGTATTCTAGTTATGGGATACTATGGGCATGTTTATGATGAGTATCTCCTATATTTAACAACTATAAAATCACAGGAAACCCGCCAAACCATCATGGATACCGACCATTTTGGGGGTATCGGTTAAGCCATTCATCTCCTCACCATGTTGATATTGCCTAGTGGGATATATATATATATAGTTGCGTAACATATTCATATTATATATATATACATTTACATAATATAAATATATATATAATACATATGTTTTTAATATATATATAGACATGTATTATAGATTCCATCATATAGAGTCCAACTTACATTCCCATTGACCATCCAATGAATCAGTGATATTGTGAATTTAATCATAACAAGAGTCCACTAGCAAGAAAAAAATACACCCACCCTTAACAAACAACTGTCAGGATATGGATTCACACCAAACAAAAGCAACTCATTTCCAGTTTGTTTCAATTCATGGTGAGAGTTTTGATTATCCAACTATACCAGTAGTACGCACAAGGCGGTGGCGGAAGTTTCAAAAACAGGAAACTTACAGGAGAGGTTGGTTGTTGCGAATCACGGATGGCAGAGCGAATCCACTGATGGACCGAAAGGTGGTTGGAGTTGTGTTTTTTGGAGTGGTTGCAATGTTTGCAGTGGTCACACCACCACAACTGTTGGATGTAGTGTGGTGTAGCGCAGTTGTAGTTGTCGTCGGTGTGTAGTGTGGTGGAGTTGTAGTTGTAATGTTGTGTAATCATGTGTAATCAGTGTAGTGTAGTTGCAGTTGCAGCAGTTGCAGTTGCATTTGTGGTGTGGTGTAATTAGTGTAGTCTATTGTAGTGTACTGTAGTGTTGTGTGCTGTAGTTTGGTATAGTGTAGTGCAGTCTAGCGTAGTGTAGGTAAGGTAGTGCAGTTGTAGCTGTAGTGTAGTGTAGTGCGATTAGTGTAGTGTCGTGTAGTGCAATTTAGTGGTAGTTGCAAGTGTAGTTGCAGTTGTAGTTGCAGTTGTATTGCAATGTAATGTAATGTAGTTGTAGCCGCATATGCATTTGTAGTTGTAGTGTGCTGCAGTGTATTTAGTGCAGTGTAGTGTAATGTGGTGTAGTTGTAATTGTATTTGTACTTGTGGTAGTAGTGGTAGTAGTAGTAGTTGTTGTTGTTGTTGCTGTTGCTGTTGCTGTTGCTGTTGTCGTTGTCTATCTATCTATCTATCTATCTACCTAACTATCTATCGATCTATCGATCTATCTATCTATCTATCTAACTATCTACCGATCTACCGATCTACCTACCTATCTATCTATCTATCTATCTATCTATCTTTCTACCTATCTATCTATCTATCTGTCTGTCTGTCTGTCTGTCTGTCTGTCTATCTGTCTATCTCTTTGTCTGTCTGTCTATCTGTCTGTCTATCTGCAAGCTTGAAAATGCAGCTATTCTGCGAGACTTTCTCAGTTTTTGAACTTGACAACATCAAAAACGCAGCAATTCTACGAGACTTCCTTAATTTTGGAACTTGACAACGTCAAAAACGAAGCAATTCTGCGATACTTCCTCATTTTTCGAAATTGACAAAATCAAAAACGAAGCAATTCTGCGAGACTTCCTTCAACAATGGAAAGTTGAGTGCAGAGCTGACGGCCTCGTACCAATGCGTTTTGCAATTTTTCCACTCCACCTGTCTAAAGTACTGCGCCTGTCAGGAAAAAGTGATGCCAGGTCATACGAAGTGCTGCGCCTGTCAAGCAAAATCATCTTCCCAAAACTGAAGATCTGATGCTCCAAAATGCAACCCGTCTCAGGAAATTAGCTCCCTCACCTCCTAACATCTCTGATGAACATGTCTCTTGCACTGCGCCTGCCACGGAAAATTTATCTTTGCAGATCCTCTTCAAATGTCCCACGCCTGCCATCGTTTTTAGAAATGCTACAAAACCCTCACGTTTTGTTCACTTTTGACAAGGTGCACAATCCCTTGTGCCTGCCACGCAAAACGACGCTTCAACGTCCAAGAGTTGCGCGAGAATGTGGTGTTTTGTACATTTTGACTTCGAAATGTGCGTCGCGCCACAACGGGTGCACTTTTCCGATATCTCAACTTCCAAAAGTGCTCCAAACCCGTCAGTTTCTTACACTTTTGACTTGGAAATGTGCTTCGCGCCACAACGGCGTGCACTTTTTCGACATCTCAACTTCCAAAAGTGGTCCCTTCTCTCACCTGGCCAGCTGGCTCCGCACCCCCCGCTTTAGCGAGCCTACTTTTCGACCCTCCGGAGCCACAAATCATTGGAAAAAACACAGTGTTTCGCGATTTTCCTACCTTTTCGCGCACCTGGATCTTCTTTCTTCAGGGACTTTCTCTTTTTGATCTTCTTTCTTCTTCTCTTCTCTCATCTGACTCTTCCCATCTCTGCTTTTCATCTGTCCATATTGTCGGAAGTTTGACTTTTAAATTTCCTTCGATCAATGTGTTACGGCGTAGCTTTGGTTGCCAGTTAAGATGCCTGGGATCTTAGTCAATCTGAGTTCATCACTACCCATCGAGGTCTCCATATTGATGTCCAAATGTCAATGGGATGAATTGACCATCTTCATCTCCAGGTATCGTTCTATACTCAGCAACAAACCAATTCCGATCCGTGGATGACACTACAAGTATGTTTGACCAGTGATTGCAAGTTAATCATCCAAATATCTACAGTTAGTCAAGCGATGTAAGTTGATCTGGCTAGCCATGTTTATTTCCATATGAAATTCCATATTTCAATGGGATCTGGACAAATTATAACGACCTCACTGCAACGTCACTGGAATGATAGTTAATTAATGAGGGGAATCATTCCTAAAGGACCGAACATTTTAGGCTAGTTATTCTTATAGTTTACCCAGATATTGATGGTAGACCCAAAAATCAACCATCATCCCCAATACCACCAGAAATATCCATATGAATTCCACATGAATGTCCATCTTCATGTCCATCTTATACTGTACTATTTTGATAATTAACGATCATCATATCCATCTCCTATCGTGTATGATACTATTGATGGGTTTACGGAGAATCATCAATTAGTCGGATAGATAGCAACCTTAATTTTCCACATTGTTCCACCTTAATTTCCATGTCCGATATGGAGGTTTCCTAAAATGGTGGGGTACCCCTAAATCATCCAAGTCATCAGCGCATTGTAAATTGTAGTATATTGTAGTATTGAAACCCATGGTGACTTGGGGATCCCCCATCTCAAGAAACCTCTATATGAATTTTCATATGGAGGTTTCCTGAAGGGGGGTACCCGCAAATCATCCATTTATAGGTGGGATTTTCCATGAAATAAACCAACCATTTTAGATATCCCTATTTAATCCTATTTATGGAACCAATATATTTTCATCAACTTTCAATGGGATCAACTCCCCATTTCCCGCAGGAGGCAGCTGCTGCAGCGCCCTTTCGAGGAGCTGATGACTCGCTCCGCCTCAGAGTCGCTGTCGTTGCCACGGCAGCGCTTCAGTCACAGTCACCGGGCCTGGCAGTTGCACCGAAATGGGAATGCCAGAAATGGATAGAAATGGTGCTTTCCATGAATCTGGGAAAATTACAACGACCTCACTGCGACCTCACCGGGAATGATGGTTAGTAGGGGTAACTATCCCCAAATGACCTTATTTCAGGTTAGTGAATTAGTATATAATTTACCCAGATAAATGGACGTACCCCAATAACTGGATGTTTTTTTCATGGAACGTCATGGAAAATCCGAAAATAAAATCGATGATGATAGTGAATAATTGGTAATTTGCTAAACCCAAGAGACCATCGCCAAGTCATCAACCATTTTTGAATTTCAACAATTCCGCAAGTATAGGTTTATGGCATTGGCTTTACCACGTTAGTTTCTCTTGAAAAATGTGTTCCGCAACTTAGCAAAAAATGGAAAACAAAGGTGTATATTACCAGCCAAACTCGGTAACAAATGTGGAATTTACACCATTTCAACCAACTAATCAAGACTTGGGACTAGAGTGGGTGAGAAGCGAGGACTTCGTGAACATGCATGTGTGTTTAATCAAGCAGCACCAGTTGGAGACCCAAAGGTTGGGATTTTCAATGACCTGCAGAAGGGAAGACTTAATGGCAACGTCCAAGTTGAGAGGGATCAACACAGACCTTTTGAGGGGCCAGATGGGTAATGATTAGAAAACCACCGTGTTTTTGTCGGGCCTGTCGGGCTCTTCAATTTTGATCCATGCTTGTTGAGAGCAAATGCGGGGATATGAAACAATGGGGATTGGAACCCGCAGTGAATTTCCAAACGAATTTTTGAGGAGTCGCCGAAATTTGGGTTGCAGAAAGGGTCACATTTCGCTCAAAGTTCAGTCTTGTGAACTAACATATGCCGATTTTCTACCCCCCACCACTGTGAAGTTTGGTGCAGATTAGGGCTTTGACACTGCCCTCGATGTGCACAAAAGGACCGTACTTTCCCTCACTTGTTCTGTGTAAAAATGCACGCTAACGGCAAAATCCGAACAAGATCATCAATGACCAACTCAAAGCGGGGTCGACGGCAAGCCACCTGCACCCAGAATCGTTCAGCAACTGAAACCATGCGACAGGTCTTTTAAATGAACACGTAGTATATATTGGTCCATTTTTGGTGATTTTCGAATCCGAATCAAGACCAGAGATCAGTTGCAGGTTTGAACCTATCAAAGGAGTTCCATCCTATGGAATGGTCATTACTCCTTTGAACCTTAGAAGATCTACAGAAAGAGGTCAGTCTGATAGTCTGGTTGTTTCTATGCCATATGGAAACATGATCCATATATGAATATGATTGAATATGCATAAAAAACTAAAACATGGATAATATGGATATATGGGATGGCTATGGATGGTTTCAGACCAAAAAAAATGACTCTAGGTGAAACTTCCTCGATGACGCTGTCGCATCATTTGCCACAGCCCCTCGGACTGGGAGCCTCAAAAAAAGCTGGGCTTCGAGGTACTTGGAGGGTCAGCAGCACATGAAGAATCAGGAAGATTTTACTGAATCATAAGTGATAAGTAACCTTGAATATCAAACAAGTATAAACAAGTACATCTATGTGTATATAGAAATGTATATATAATATATAGATATGTATATATACAATATATATATATAATATATACATATAATTTCAATATGACATATGTAAAAACAAGGATAATGATCATGATCATGAATAACAATCAGCATCACAGCATCACGGCATCACGATCGTTCCTGGATTTGCTGATTGAAAATCCACCATGAATGGACAATCGACTGGGCCTCCTGTCCTGGAAGTTGGGCAAAAGCATGGACGTACGGTTTTCAAGATTCCATGGTGTCTTGTACTTCTACCTTTCTGTTTTTAATGTTTTAACGTTTTTAATGTTAATGTTTTTAATGCTTTTAATGTTTTTAATGTTTTTAATGCTTTTAATGTTTATGTGGATTATATAATATATATATATATATATATTTGTTCATTGTTTGGTCTTGATAAATTTTGATATAATATAACTATCTGGTGGTTAGGACTGGGAGCACTTCGGAGCTATGGGTTGCCACATTCCCAATTTTGCGTAGCCAAGGAGCTACGAATTGAGTTTCCCAGCCACATGACAGTTTGGCCATGACGATAAATAGAAAGGAACAATTGTGAGCGGTAGCAATGATTGAACATTAATCATGACGGTTTTTCACCATATGGAACATATTCAAATTCCAAATTATTTACAAATATATATATATATGTACTGTATATATACGGTAACGACATTTAAATATGTGGAGGGCGGGCCTGACCGCGAGGACCCGGAGGTAGTATGAAATACCAGTTCGTATATTTAAATGTACTTACCGTATGTTTAAATGAATTGGATTCCGTATGTTTAAATGGCCGGGCGGGCCAAGGAAAACCTTCCCGGAGGTAGTCTAAAATACCTGTTCGTATATTTAAAAGTCCGTATATTTAAATGTAGTTACCGTATATATATATATTTATCTGTATATATATATATATATGTACTGTATATATATATATATAGAATAGATAATCTAAAATGAACCTGACTAATGTCAACCCTGGATTAATAAACCCCTAGGCTGTTTAATTGGGAGGGTACCATTTACGTATTAGATTATGACTATTGGAGGGGTATCCCCCTAATTATTAATAAACTCGTGATGACGATGTTGGAGCCAAGTTGGAGCTTGAGGATCCCTGGGCAAGCAGGGCGTGCCCCTCGAATGTCCATGGCGCAGAGGTCCAATTCCAGGTCGCGGGTGCCGCGGGTGACTGGGTGAGACTAAGGTTGGTAAAACAATAATAAACCATCCAGATGTTTATGGTTTATACCACCCATTATATAATGGTACATTTTAGAATTTAAATATTGTTCAAATGAAAATTGATGAAACCCCAATTTACTAAGGTGGGGGTAGCATTCTTAACAGTAATTTATCATTAATGAATCACTTCGGGAGGTAAGAAGTGAATAAGAAGTAACAAGACATAAGTGAAGAAACATGTGGAGATCAAGTCCATACCACAAATTAGCAAGTGAAGCTTTCATAGCTTCATTACTATGATTTGAATCCCATGTTTGGCAACATCGAACCTCAGCTCCAATGAGAAAAGATGGAGGGAGCAACGACGAACAACGAGGTTATACCCTCCAGTGATCAAACATGGCAACGGGGAACATACCGACCTGCCTTGTATGATTTACCTGTTGAGAATGGTGATTTTCCATTGCCGTGTTCAGATGACCAGATGGTAGCCAAGTTGTTATTTTAATCATGACAATGACAATTGAGTAAATTACTCCCAAAAGACACACTAACTTAATCCTCACAATGGTTTGCTTTCTATACCTCGAGTTTCCTGGTTAGTAAGTTCCCATTCACTGGTTGCTCGTACATATTATATATATATATAACATATATATATATATATAACATATATACATATATATAACATATATATATATAACTATATAAATATATATGTATACAATATATATATATATATGTATACATAATATATATATATATAAATGGCTTCTGACTATGGTTACTAAATAATTATATAAGTAGGATGATCCTCCAGTTTTTTTTCGCTCTTTTGGTACCGGGTCCTGCGCCAGGCTGGGGTCCAATACGTCGCTGCAGAATCTCAATTTGGCGGACGTGCTGCAGGCCGAAGGTGCGCTCGCCGGCCAGTTCTGCTGATGTCAGATTTCTTGGGATTCTCCACCATGTAACATGATGAATGGATATGGATTAGGACATATGGGATATGAGTGAAATGATAGTCCATGATGCTCCAAACAGCCTCTGAGAAGTTGTTTGGACCCTAAAATCCATCCGCAAATACAGTCTCAAAATTTGTTTGGAGCTGTTGGGTTTTTAAGAAACATATAAAGTTGGGTATATTGATACATATATAGATATATACGAAAAATGCCTGGGCTTTGCCCGGACCCGCCATGAGGAAAGGCGACGCATCATCATCATCATCATCATCATCATCATCATCATTAGAATTAAACCCTTATTGAAGATCTTCAATGAATGTAGAAGTTTAACAGGGGTAGGAGAATTAAGCCTTTATTGAAGATCTTCAATGAATATTAACGGGGGTGGGAGAATTAAACCCTTATTGAAGATCTTCAATGAATGTAAAGTTTAACGGGGTGGGAATTTAATACTACCTAGTAATTACCTGTGTTGATCTTCCCAATTGAATGTAAAGTTTAACGGTGGTGGGAGTTTAATATTCCCTAGTACCTTTGTTGATCTTCCCAACTGAATGTAAAGTTTAACAGGGGTGGGACTTTAATATCCCCTAGTACCTTTGTTGTTTTTCCCATAGGAATTTAAGGTTTAACGGGGATGGGAGTTTAATATTCCCTAGTACCTTTGTTGTTTTTCCCATAGGAAATTTGTGAAGTTGCATCAATATTTGTTTGGGAATGGGAAACCTCTACGCTGCAACACCTGGGCAAAGCCCAGGCGTTGCGCGTATATAAATATATATATGTATGTAAGTATGTATGTATGTATGCATGTATGTATGTATGTGTGTATGTAATGTATGTATGTATGTATGTATGTAATGTAATGTAATGTTATGTTATGTTATGTTATGTTATGTTATGTTATGCATGTATGTATGTATGTATGTAAGTAATGTATGTATGTATGTATGTATGTAAGTAATGTATGTATGTATGTATGTGTGTATGTATGTATGTATGTATGTATGCATGCATGTATGTATGTATGTATGTATGTTTGTAATGTATGTATGTAATGTATCTAAGTAATGTATGTAAGTAATGTATGTAAGTAATGTATGTAAGTAATGCATGTATGCATGTATGTATGTATGTATGTATGTATGTATATGTTTTGTAACCAACTAACCTAAAACCAGCTGAAACAGATCATTTTGCTAAAGGGTATCCAAGATGAGCCATGATCAACGGGGATTCTTCAGCGCTACAGGGACCCAGGGAAGATTTTTTGAGTTTTACCCATTTTCACCAGCATCCAAATAGGAAAAGAACATCACACAACTGTTATGTTCATATATTTTCATAGATATATAATCTATAATATATATATATATATGTATAGTTATTTACATATATACAGTATATTTATATATATATATATATGATTTGCCAGTACAAGTAAAATGTAGAATGATTTATAATGAATAGACATGGGGGCTCAGATTGTTCCGTTGTTGGGTGCATGTTTGCGGGAATTGGAACTAGAACAGGTTTCCAATCGTTTCAAGGATGCACCGTCCATTGCAACTCACTTTTGATTGCTTCGGCACTTTTTGTTTTTGATATTGCACGCGTCTAGTAATGTAACACAGCCATTGAAATCACCATTTTTTATGGGCAATTCATTTGAAAATGAGGGGAATGTAAAACCACTACTTCATGACTCCAGATGTCAATGTGGATGTCTATTGCCCGTCTTCCACGTTTCCCCAAGCGAGGACTAAGTGACTATCAATATGGCGTTCTGGGGACACCACAGCTACATCTGGCATTGGAAACTCCCCGATTTTATCCATAATGGATTCTCCATCCAAACACAAAAATCATGACATTGAACATCGAAAAAGTTCGATCCAAATAGTCATTGACATGAAAATTCACCAGATAACATTTGAAAACATATAAAAACATATGGTATATCCATGTATATCCAAGGTTTACAGCCCCATGACCTTGTTGTTTTCCGTTAGGAGAGGACGGCGAGCTGGAGGTGGACACCTTGCAGGGAAGCAAGGATCAGTCGATGTCAGGAGGTGGCTGTTGGGGTATGAAGCAAGGGAGATATATCAGGGATATATCTATACATATGTATATATATATATGTATAGTAGCTCTACAACTCTATATATATAATTATAATTTATTAGATATATTGTTATGCAGCTATACAACACTATATAACTATACAACTATATATATATATAACTATACATATTGTAGATGCATACATATGTATATCTATGCTATATAACTATGTACATTTAACTATATTTACATTTGCATAGCTATATATATATGTATGTATATATATATTATATATATGCATTAAACTTTGTACAATGGCGATGATGATAATCCATTGGATTTGAGAACAATTTGTAGATCCTTTTCCTGACAATAAAGGGTTTGCATAGCCATGTCAGTTCCTAGAGCGTGACAACTATTCATTATCATTCACCCAAAAAGTTGTAAAGAAACCTATTCCACCTGACCTTTTTAATTGCTCCATTATTTTGAGATCACAACGAAAACTGGGAAATGGTGAAGTAAGACGCCCCCAAATGTCGATGAAGTGCGAGGCTGTTTATATCAAACCACTTGAAGGAGTACCTTGCTCATTGTAAGTAGCTGATAGCCCTGGTCATCATAAGCCCCTCAACTGGGTTATTCCATATATATATATATATATATAATTGGGTCATAACATGTTGGAATCAAAACATATTAATCACTTACGAGTCGAGTCGTTGGATGATCCAAAAAATGTTGCTTAAAATTGTGCAAGTCATGTCTACGTGGAGAAATTCCCAGCTGGGGATCTGCTTTTGATGCAAGTAAGCTATTTGTGACTGGCGCCAATCACCTGTACTTGCTGATATGGATGCACATCAAGTAGATTACAATAATATGCTTCAATACACCCTCCTGGTAATTCAACATAGCTATTGGAAAAAACCATAGAAATTGTTGATTTACCCATTAAACATGGTGGATCGTTCCACAGTTTATGTAAACGTTTACCAGAGGGTACCCTCCTAGTAATCAATATATCTATATATCATATATCAATATATCTGATATCACCTGTACTACTGGACTCACAATAGAAAGCCTCCTGGTCAACGTGGGCTGGCTGCATCCCATGGAGGTTTCAAGCAACCCCCAGGTCCAACTCGCGAGGCTATAACTCCAATAACTATGGTTATATTATGGTTTATCTTATAGTATATTATGGATCTAACTAGTTAATTGGGGTTATATTATGGATATAACTAGTTAATGGGGGTTGTATTATCGTTTATCCTCTCCACAACTAGTTGACTATTTATAATCATACTGTTTTGGTTCTTGACTATGTTTGTTTATTCCAGGTGTGTCATAGTTGATGGGGGGGGTATATAAGCCAACTTCCAATTGGGCACCTTGCATGAGGATTTCGTGTCTAACGTGGCCATGAATTGGGGTATCTGGTATGAATTGAGGGCCGGTATGGTCTAGTGGATAAGATGCATCGGTTCAATACCTGGCTGCAAACACTAGGCGGACAGGCGGGCCACTACCCCACCCCTGCAGTTAAGGGGATGAGCTAGGGTGTGGTCCGTAAAACACTCACGCATTTTTTCCTCAAAAAATGTGAAACTTATCTGTATATATATATATATCCTATCTTATCTATACCATACCCAAGCATGTGTGCTATCCCTTGTGATCTTTCCGATCTTTAGCCCTGCACATCTCAGACCTTCGCTGATCTCCAGGCGCTTCTCCCTTTGGCCAAAGTACTGGTGAAATGGACTTTGGCCTCGATAAGCGTGGCAGCTTTCAGGTGGCCATATGGCTGACCATGCCGGCGGAAAAAGAGCATACATAGTAAAAGCCACTTGGAATTTGCTTGCAGGAAAACTCATGCATAAGTGATATAATGTATACTGTGAATATTTAACCTTAGTTACATGAGTTATAGTCCCATTACTGTAGCAACTGTTGAGAGCCATAGATTGTGGTTGATTTGGACGGATCCGGAGATCCATACTCAGTCCTGGAAATTACCCTATGGTAAACGTCTACAGTTTGCTATGAAAAATGGCCATAGAAATTGTTGATTTACCCATAAAACATGGTGATCTGTTGTGGCAATTTTCAATAGCAAACTGTAAACGTTTACCAGAGGGTATATCCATCAATATCCCAGTATTATCCCACCATTATCCCAGCAAATCATCCCATCATTAAACCATATTAAACCAGGATTTTCACTGGCCTATGGACCAAAATGAGCCTACGATAACGTGGCTGGCAAATCTGCCACGATGATTTTCCCAGCCACGTTTGATTACCAGAGGGTATGTGTAATGTGGTAAACCCAACAATAAACTAACCCCAAAATCCACCGTAAATGGTAGGTTTATTATTGGTTTGCCCACATGACACCAAAGGTTTGCCAAAAAGGCTACCCCCAAATCATCAAAATAAATACCATTTATCATTTTAGTATTCAAACCTATGGTTTTGGGGGATCCGCCATTTGAAGAAACCCCATATGTGTTAGATGTCCATTCCGTGCCAGGGAGCTATGGCTCGCAACCAGAGTCCGCGATCACAGTGGGCCAATACACTTGAAGCAGCGCTGGAGGAGCCAAAACAGAGTCTGCGCTGAAGCAGCGGAAATGGGCCACCATGTTTTTTTTAGCAAGCGAACAACACTTGGTAGATTGATGTAGAGTGCTTGTCTACGTGCTTTTTGTTGAATATTTGTTTGTACCATAAAACCTTCAAACATGGATGGCTTACTAAATCCTTCGATTCCTGGTCCCAACATTGGCGCAACCGACGGTGCGGCAGTGCAGGAAGCAGATGTGCAACTTCTCTTCCGCTTGGATCTTCCCCTGATGGTGAAGGCCGGTGGAGTTGTCGAGATCCAGGGATGGAGTTGCCCTTGAAAGTTATTAATATGGGATTATATCTCAAACTAAGGAGAAATACATCACTTAAATGACTTGAATATACTTCAATTGGATTAGAGTCCAGTTATGTTTGTTAAGGGCTATAACTCTAGAGGATGGATTTCGCCAGTTGATATTGATTTGGGCGAAAAAGATCGGATATGAAGTTGATTTATACGGGAATTATCAATCTAGAAATTGTACATCTGTACATCAATCTGGTTTTAAAAGATTATATGTGGGTAAATTATAGTAAACTCATTTTGAGGAACATTGTGCAAAAAGGAATGTGTTTATTAAGATCCTGTTCTTTAAATGTTGATTTCGATGAGATTCATGAGTATAGATGATTAACAAACTATATTTTGCGATTTGCAAGGATGTTCCCTTGCATAGCCCTTTCATAGGCCTTATAAAAATGGTAGGTACCTCAAATAAGTCGTTTCCTGTTGCATGGTCATTGTCAATCGGTGGGTCAAATCCCCTAGTGGGGCTGATATCATCCCCAGTCAGGGTTGCTCCAGTTGGCGATAGCCACAAACAGTGGACATGGGTCACATGGGTCACTTCCCCTCTATAATAACCAATTTACCCCACGTTTCTTTGTGGTTAACTTCCTGTGGTTTTGTTTAAGTCCTGAAGTCGTGATTTGTTGATATCCCCAAAGTATTGGTCGCAGTAATCTCCTCAATGTTGTTTAGTCAATATGCGACTGGGTCTTGTGACCTGTAGTATAACATCCATTTCCCCAGGATTTCCTCAGGAATTCCCTCGGATTTCCGGACTTTCCCAGGATTTTCTTTTGATTCCCCTATGTTTTCCGAATTCCTTATGAATTTCCGTATGATGTCCCAGGATCCGTTGAACATCCCCGGAAAATACGCCCAGGCGGTGGCCGATGGGGAAATCCACTCGCTGAAGGAAGTGACACCTCCCAGGTGGAATCAGATGAAGGCCTGGCGCCGGGAAATGGATTAGTGGGATGTCATCCTTCCCATTGACGAACTCCTCATATTTTTCAAGATGGGCACATTGCACCACCAACCAGATTAGATTGGTGACTCATTACTACTAGTGTTTAAGAGTGATTAGTGATTATATAATAATTATATGATAGTGATTTTATAGTGAACTAAGAGTGATTTGTATTTGTGATGTGTGATTGGTGATGTGTGATTCACAGATCTTTAGTGACTACAGAAATGATAGTGGTGATTGATCGTGATTAATGCGATTGTTCTTAACTAAAAAATATTGTGAATTATAGTGATTAATGGTGATGAATGGGATGATGCAGGGAATGGGATCATAGGTTTCTTAAGTCATGATCCCCCAAGTCATTTGATCGGTTTCAATACTAAGCCATGGTCATGACTTGGATGATAATGCAAGGGGGTACCCACAATTGCATTGGAAACTTCCTTGCATTTCATCAATTTTCAAGATGTCGTAGCAAACAATCCAAGTAGCAATATTTTAGTCATGGCTCATATGATGAGTACTATGTTTTTCTGTTTTTTTTCCTGCACATGTTAATTTGGAGGCTCAAGGTGGTTAGTCCGTTGAATCTGTCATCACTTGGTTGCTGAACTGTTAGGCCCTGATTTGTACTGAGTACAAGAGCTGCATTGTCTAACAAAAGTACAGCTGTAGAAAAATGTTGCCTTGGAAAGTGCTCCTGTGTCTACATTTTATAGATTTATATACCGGTCAAAGTCTGGTTATTGAAGTGACAAGTCGCTGCCTGAGCCATTCCCAGAGTTGCTTCTCTCTTCGGTTCGGTCAGGATTTCCATCTGGGAACGGAGTTGATTTGAGCATACCTACTTTGACCCAGAGCCATATAGGAGCCCTACTCAACCCTGTAATATCATCCAAAAGGAACCAAGATCTATATGAAAGGTCGTCAGTTCTTTATGATGGGGATATTGTGGGATACCCTGGGGATATAATTCTTGGAGATACATTTAATTCTTGATTAAGGAAAGATCGTTCATTAACAGCTATGATATATCTGAGAATGGGGACTTGCCACCCAACTTATGGCAGTCGGAACGTGCAGTTTGAACCAGAAACTTGGAGCCACCCATAGATTTGGGTCTAACCTGGCAATCACCATGGGAACATGTTGGAAAATCAGCAGGGACGTGTTTTTTGATTGCTAGGCTAGATGTACAATGAGTGTACCCTTTCAGCACAAGAACTCCGCTGAGTTCTCGCGACAAAACGTTTTTGGCAGGTCATGGCCATGGACTTTCTGGAGGATTCGCGATTTGGGACGAAGGTTTTGCATTTTGTTTGCTATATGTATATAGTGTATAACTATATCTATATATGCACTATATATATAAATAATATATATATATATACACAAATACAATGCATATTATGGACACACAGTGTGAGGAGCTGGAGAGGATTGGCACTTGCCGCCCTGGACAAAGGGCGTCTCTTAAGGCTGGGAAGCCCCGGGTTTTGGATGGATTGTTCATGCCATTTGTTGTACTGGAAAGCCATGGATTTATCTGCGGATTTCAATGGGATTTCATGGGACATTCATAGGGATTTAATGGGGTTTAATGGGAAACTAATGGGGGTTTAAATGGGATCTAATGGGATCTATTGGGATTCAATTGGATTTAATTTCATAAAATGGGTTTTAATGGGCTATGTAATCAACGATGTGAAACTGTAGGTATGTCTGACAGTGGGGTACACCCTGTACTTATGGCAATTTCATAGGGAACATGATGATTAACCAGTCGAAGGATACCCTATTTCAGACAAATGCATATATATATATATTACAATAGCGTTTTCCTGTAATTACTTGTTTCCCCTCATTTCTGAGATTGGTTGAGTGTCACCCACCTGGATGGATATATCTAGCATAAATATATGCACATGTTCAAACATTGGCCGAATTATACACCAGCTTACCAATCGTTCGGGGCCCTTCTTGTAGATAGTGGTGACTTGGTCACGAGGGCCTCTTTTACTGGGGAGAATTGGGAGGGACTGGAAGTACCAATATGGCAATCAAACGTGGCTGGGAGATCCCCGAAGCATATGGAGGTGTCGATTGGAAAAGCATTGAACTATAGATGGAGGATGTTCAATTGCCATGTTTGATTACCGGAGGGGAATCAACCAAAAGTGGCAATTTTTCGATATGTTTGCTGATATAGGGACAATGGAAACTCGGATACCTCATGGGAATCAAACCTGGGAATAATATGGAATAGTGGAATAGGGAAGCCCGAACTAAATGAAGGCTTCTAGCTGGGAATATCGATGCTCATTGATTTTCCATTGCCAAGTTCGACTATGGCAATGGATGGCAATGGCATACCTTTTGCCCATCGCTAACCATTCAGTAACCGACCTGGGATGTCACTGGACGAATCTCCCCAGGTGGTGTCTGACCTCTACGACTGTTTGGCATCTTGGCAGACTCGATGGCTTGGTTTTTCCAGGGAATGGCTCCGTTTTTGCATCCGGATTCTGAAGTTCTGCTGTGAAGTCAGAAATATCAGCGTTTTTTTTACTGTAGTAGTTGCTACTGATCCCGTGTTCCAATTCTACCATCCTCTGCCGAAGCTCAGGAGGAGCAAGGCTGCAATCAAGGCTTTGATGCTTTGTGCAAGTCCTTCACTTTCCTGTTTGGAGGTTTGGAAGAGGCGCGCGATTCTTGTGACGTCGTCATCCAACATTTGTGGAAACTAATTGAAAATAGTGGATGGTCTCATATGCTTTATCAGGGAGCCATTTTGACGTATCCACCACTTTCAGATAACAAACCCGAGGTTTTTCAAGCTAGTGGGACCCCACCAGGAAAGGCTTTCGTTTGAGCAACAGCAAATCCAGTTTTGGCCACGGATATCCGTTGTTCACCTGTTTGGTTGGTAGGTACAAATTGAACTTCAGAAGTGAACAACCACTAACCACTACATAAATGATGAAAACATATGAAAACTTAGTGAAACAAACTGGTATAGACTTTTTTTCCTGTAAAAATACCGGGAATTGCTGAAGATTGTCCTTTTGAATCCTTTATTTTCTTTGTTGGTGGATTTGCCCTCGGGGGAAGCTACGGGAACGTGTTTCATTTTATTTTGTGTTTGCCCCTTGAAGCAAATCCAAAAATATATATATATATATGTATATATATATATATGTATGGTTCTTTCTCAAAAACGGGATACCCTCCGGTAATCAAACATGGCAATGGGAAATTCCCCAATTCAATGATTTTTTTTCCAGCGAGAAACTTCCATTTAATTTGCAGGGGATGTTCAATAATTTGGATGATAACTTGGGGTCAGTGCCTTGAGAAACCCATTGTGGTTATGGATAGTTTCATCCATCTATCTCTATCAACCATGACACCATATATATATATATACACATATGTATATATACATATATATAATTATATATATATAATTATATATATATATGTACATAACCGATTCAATAATCATAATCGTAAGCATTCTTACTGTAGTCATCATCACCATGTCATTGCTTTTTTGATATACACCATTCGTTTCCCGGAGTTCGGCACCGGGCCAAACAGGTGCAGAAGGTCTTGGATGTGAACAAGAATGGGTTATTGAGCACAACCGAATTCTCGCCCTGTCCTCAGTGGCAATTGGCGAGTGTCTTGATGGGTATTTAATTGGATTTTTAAAATCCCATCTTTGGTATCCAACCATCCTCAAACTGCGATATTGTTGACCTGAGAATTGGACGGTTGGAAAATTACCCAAGAAAATCCACCGAAGCACTCTTTTGCACTTGTGTATGTGTTTGGAACTTACCCTCTAGGAAAGCCTCAAGAATTCTATGAAAAACCCAGAGCTTTCCGACGGAAATGATCCATGGATCCATGATGATCCATGTCGGGGAGAAGATGAAATCTTTCTCAAAGGTGATCACCAGTTTTATGTTCAAAAATGGAGGGGGGTACTCCCAAATCATCCTTTTTAATAGGATTTTCCACTTTGAACCAACATTTTGGGGATCCCCCATTTATGGAAACCTCCAGCCATGAAGAGTTCAAATCTCCAGCCATGGCTGGACAGTCAGCAGATGGGTTTAAAAGGCTTTGTCACGGGTGTCCTACCAGGTAGACTGTAGCCCATTTTTGAGTAGACACATCCAGTTTCATATGTATATATATATATATATTATGTATATATATATATAGATCTATATTATATTCGTATATATATACATATTCGTATATATATATGTATATATATATTAGTATATATATATATATATTAGTATATTAGTATATATTTATATTAGTATTTATATACATATATATACATAAGTACAAATATATTAGTATATATATATATAGTATATATATATATATATATTAGTGTATATATATATATATATTAGTATATATATATATATTAGTATATATATATATATTAGTATATTTATATATAAATATTAGTATATATATAGATTAGTATATATATATACATTAGTATATATATATATATATATTAGTATATATATATTAGTATATATAAATATTAATATATATATATATATATTAGTATATATATATATTAGTATATATATATATATTAGTGTATATATATATATATATTAGTGTATATATATATATTAGTATATATAGTGTATATATATATATACACATATGTACAAATATATTTATATATGAGTATATATATATATTAGTATATAGTATATATATATATATACTAATATATATATATATATATATATACACATATTTAATACATATATTTTTAGATACATATCCATGATACCCATCAGTTTCCATTAAATCTCAAGGATTTTGTTATTTTAATAGCTCATCAAATCCCCCATGCCATTCGAGGATGGCCATGTGCCTTTCGGGCCTTGATCTGGGCGTGATTTGCGGGCTCGATGAGCGGGAGATCTTCTTGGCTGTTGTCCCTTGGTTGACATGGGACTTTTTTGAAGATGCTGCGTCTTGATTTTCTAAAGACATCAGAAGTGCTTTTGGATTTCATATGGATTCCCTGTGGTACCTTGGTGAAGTGTCTTAAAGATTCCCCAAGGATTCCCTGTGGTACCTGTGTGTTGATTTTCCTGGAAATCCATCAGAACTGGGAAATCCATAGGGAATATTTCTATATAGTACAGGGCACCCCGGGCATGATATAGATCAGTTGTTTGAAATGACTAGGCTAATGATTGGATTATGGCGGATATATCGTATGTAAATGGGGCTATAAATGAGTGTTATAAACCAAAGATGAGATTTCACCATGACATGATAGGTATTTAAACAAGAAACACGGGATTTTAACATCTAACATGGGAGATATAGTGAGTATATCAGAATTGGTGATTGTGGTAAGGTTTTACCTGGGTCCTCAAAGATATGGGGAAATTAGCCCACAACGATTGAGACAACCAACCAAGTTTGGGGATACAGCGGCGGATGTAGTTGAGGTATACCTGGATATATGTGGATATATATATATATATAATTAATTGGTGGAAATAACTCTAGGACTATAGGCTAGTCGTTGGAAATTTGGTTGACATATATATATATATATGTTTCTAATAATAATAGTAGCCATAGTAACAACATACTAGCAGTAATATCAATACTAGCAAGAATAGTAATGATAATCCTAATAACAATATTTCAAGAAGTCTTCATAGTAATAATAATGACAGTAGTAATAATAATAATGTATAAGGCATTCTATAACTAGATTGGGTAATTCAAACCATCAAACAAAACTGGAGGGAACTAGGCGCCCGAAAGTACGACCTCTATGAAAATGATGGGAAATTGTGGGTGGAGGCTGCCATGGAACCACCAAAAGAGATGAATCCAACAAGGGCCATGGCGATGTAATTTCCAGGGTTTTGACCTGGTTTGACATGTTTTTACCTATTCCCATGACAATGGGATATGAGCCTGCAAACATTGGGAATTTACTGGAAATAGGCAAATTTGAGTAGCAACTTGCTTAGTCCTTGGCAACCTTGGCATACCAATGACCAAATGTGTTTATGTTCCAAATTTGAGCAACGGAAGCAGCGGCCGAAGACCAGGGACGATAGTGACTATTGTAATCTATTGAATCATATTGAATCTATTGAATTGTAATGATTTTAAACATGTAGGCAAAACTCTCGGTAGCTGTGACTAACCATGAACCATGCAAACGCGAATTGCACAACTGGGACAAGCGGCAACTGATTGGCGTTTGTCTAAATTGAGTGGATTCTTACCAGCCATTGTTCTTCTGGTTGTTGTTTTGGAACATGTTTTATGACTTTCCATATATTGGAAATAATAATCCCAACTGCCTAATATTTTTCAGAGGGGCTGAAACCACCAACCATTGTTCTTGTTCCCCACCTGCCAGGTGAGGGTTGTTAGATTTTATCAGAGTTGTTCTTCTCCTCCTTCCTCCTCCTTCCTCCTCCTTCTCCTCCTCCGCGTCCTCCTCCTCTTCTACCACCTCTGCCTCCACTTCCACGTCCACTGTTGCCTAAGCTCTTCGCCAACTTCGGAGCTCAGTGCGCACTGCTGGACCTCAACCTGGGACCTTCCCAGCTCAGTGCGCACCGCTGGACCTCAACCTGGGACCTACCTGGCTCAGTGCGCACCGCTGGACCTCAACCTGGGACCTTCCCAGCTCAGTGCGCACCGCTGGACCTCAACCTGTGACCTGCCCAGCTCAGTGCGCACCGCTGGACCTCAACCTGGGACCTTCCGAGCCCAGTGCGCACCGCTGGACCTCAACGGCCAGATAGAATGCCAGATAGAATGCCAGAAGATATGCCAGATAGAATGCCAGATAGAATGCCAGAAGATATGTCAGATAGAATGCCAGAAGATATGCCAGATAAAATGTCAGATAGAATGCCAGAAGATATGCCGGATAAAGTGCCAGAATGTTTGCCAGATAGAATGCCAGAAGATTTGCCAGATAATATGCTAGAAGATATGCCAGATAGAATGCCAGAAGATATGCCAGAAGATATGCCAGAACATATGCCAGAAGATATGCCAGGTAGAATGCCAGAAGATATGCCAGATAAAATGCAAGAAGATATGTCAGATAGAATGCCAGAAGGTATGCCAGATAGAATGCCAGAAGGTATGCCAGATAAAGTGCCAGAATGTTTGCCAGATAGAATGCCAGATAGAATGCCAGAAGATATGCCAGATAGGATGTCAGAAGATATGCCAGAAGATATGTCAGATAGAATGCCAGAATATATGCCAGGTAGAATGCCAGAAGATATGCCAGATAGAATGCCAGATCGAATGCCAGAAGATATGTCAGATAGAATGCCAGAAGATTTGCCAGTAACAAAACGTATAAATGTCATGGTGGGGATGACTCGAAGTAAAGTATTTTATATCATGATTATTCTCCGGTATCCGGATGTATCCAGTATACTCTCTCCACCAAGGATGTGAACCACTCGGGATCCATTAGCATCGAGGAGCTACTGAGATTTTGCGCCAGCAAACCTGCGGAGACCAAGTTGAGCAAGGTCCGTGACGCCTATGGGTGTAAGGTGTAAGAATGTGCAATGATATATGGGGGTGTCCTAAAAGAGGGATATCCGCAGATCTTCCATTTTAATGGGACTTTCCATTATACACCATCTAGTTTGGGGTACAGCGGAAGCGTTAGATAAGAACCGATTAAGAATTTTCCGGCCTACCCTGGGGTTCTTAAGTGCTATAGGTGGAAAATATGGGAATTATGAACGAGGGTACCCTTAAGTTCTTCATGGGTTCGTTCTTAAGGGGTTCATATGGTGAGGGTTTTGCCAAGTCATTTTGGCGTGGTATTGATTAGGTTGCAAAGGAGGCGGGGGGAAGAAAAAACTTTTTAGGCTCCGAAAAGTTTTTTCAGGGTTTGGGCGCCCGAAACAGGGCAGCACAAGCAAATCAAGCCAAGGGCAGCCTCCTAGGTCAGGTGACCTACAGTGAGTCTGGCTGGTGTCTAGCTGAAGCTGTGGACATCAGCCTTGGTGACCATGCAAGGGTTGGAATCTTCCTGGGGCCGCATCATGTTTGTCCTCGGCATGGGAGTTCCGCGGTACATAATCTTTCTTTGGGGAAATAGTTGCTAATAATCAATGTTTGGTATATGGATACCCGTTAAAGGTGAATAAGAAGCAGCGGCTAGAATTCCAGGGCACCTATTTCAATTAGCTGACAGAAAGGGTTGAATCCAGCAATCCAGCCCCTGAAGTTCTTATTGCAGTAGGTTCTTAAACAGTGGTTTCACCACTTGGGAGGTATTGAAAACCACATCCCAATGTAGCGGGCGTATGGTTTTTAAAGACTACAATGGGTCAACCAAAATGCCCTATGTGTTTTTTTTATTTTCGCAAACGAATTCCCAGGCTGATCGCGCGAAAAAGGAACGAGAGAGGAAAGCCGCTGTACCTTGGGCGAAACTCGAGGAATAAGTCATCGCAGATTCGCAACCTTCCTGGCTGATCTGGTTGTTGATTCCGCCAACAAAGTTCCGGGGATCAAAAATAATATGGTTGAGGAGTGTAGGAGTGCAATAGCTGGAGCTTCAATTCGCAAGCAGAAGATGGGTTATATCAACCATCCGAAATTGGAGGTGAACGGCATTTTTTTTCCGCATTACCTTTGTTGGTGGAATCCTTAAATATCGCCATTTCGTTATTGAACAGGGCCCTGAAAAATGACCCATTAGATGATTTAGGGTGGTTTGCTTATCAAACATGGTGATTTTCCATGATTTTCCCCTCGCAACTTTCGATAATCCAAAGGGTATATTCCCCACATCGTCTTGGCGCCTGCGGCCCCTTTGTTATGGAAAAATTCCATCCCTGTAACGAAGCACCTCAATATGTCAACCCAATCAATCTAGATGAACACATGTTGATACACTTTCTATGGAATCATGGAACATGTGGGCATGTTTTGAATCTTTAGTGCATTTGTTTATGAACCATTGCTTTCCGGTGCAACTTTTGGGTCTTGCGTTTCCCGGTATGTTGCGTGGAATGGTTTTGACTGTTGATCCCAATCAGAAGACACTAGTCTGGAGAATTTCAGGCTGCAAAGTCCAGCAAGAGCAAAATGAACACGACAGCAATCATTGAACAGGCTGGTTTGAAGGCGGCACAGTTGATGCTGAGTGGGATGGTGGGTTCACCAATGGCGTTAGCTGTCAAACATCTTAAAACCATTCATGGTGGTGAGATGATCAAAAATTCAGTTGGTAATACTCGTATTTCGGGAGCATACCATATTATATAACATATATTATCAGTATGAATATATGCATTACATTGTTTTACGCTATACTTGCCTGGTGGTTTCAATCGGATGGTGGCCCTCAAATGACTTCAATTGACAATAAAACTGTGTTTCTGGGTTGAAACAACCAAACAGGAGGATTTGGGACAGGAGTTTTTACTTCTAGAGTACCCTCCAGGAGATACAGAAATCATAAGAAATCCAGATGGCTGGCTGGAAAATCTTCATTTTGATCAATTGTTTTACCTATTGAACATGGGTTTTCATCAGCTAGCCAGGTTGAATCATTCGGGACAGGATGGCCCTAGTGTCAACCGCGCTGACTGCAGGTGGTTCAAGAGAAAGAAGTTCAAGGCGTCGGCGCCAAGTGGTGGGTGTATCTTCCGAAAGAAAAGAGATACCGCTGGGGGATCATCATTATAATATACAATGATAATAATAATGATAATATAGCAATATAAAATAGTAATATCAAATAGTAATGATATAATAGTCATCATCATTATAGTCATCATAAAAATCGTTTTAATAATAGTATAATGATGATAGTATAATGATAATGATCATGATGATAATACCAATTTATAATAATGATCACCATTATCATCAGCATCAGCATCAACATCAGCATCATCATGATGTTCATGTGCTCCTGGTCCACCTCTTGATCTCATTTCTCCGACTTGCAGAGACACTCACGCTGTGCGCTGCAACAGTACAACACTGTTTGGACTAGTACGCTTCATTTGTGAAACCTCTTTTCGAAAGATACGTTCAATATTATATAATCATATAATATATATATATATACATATTCATCCTTGCTATTCCCACCATTTTTTCCGCATCTATGGCCTTCTCGCTATCCACCTAGAAGGCGTGCGCTTCCAAGCCATGGTTGTTCCAAAGCAAAGCTCCAGTGTGGTGCCCCAGGAACCTGCAAAACATGCCTAAAAAGTTGGTTAAACCAACTTTTCACTAGGGATGTTTTAGGGATGTTTATCGATGTTTATGCTTGATAATCTGCGCAATGGTTTACCTATGTTTAAAAAGATGCATTTCCCAGCTATCCATGTTTGTCTACCGTCGGATATCACCATTGTTGAACAAATATTGGACCGTAGTTGCTTAAACCGACATTAGCACAAGAGAGTCAACAGAGTAGTGATCTTGCGACCAGAGTTTGGTTCATCCTCCAATTTTCATGGGTGGTCTCCCCATAATATCCTGGAGCTGCCTAGAAAAGTTTAGAAAGGACAGTATCAGTGTAAAGAATGTCACCATCTCTTCCATCTTGGGAGACTTAGATGTCTTAGACCCCTCAAGTACCGATGAGAACGGATCCGGTAACAAAATCATCAGTATACTGCCACAGATTGCTCCATTTTTCGCACTTGGAGGGTCGCTGAGGTAACCTGACTCCTTCAGCAACGGGTGCCGGTGTAGGCAGGGCCATTTGAGACCTCACTGGCCGTGATCACTAGAAATCATGATATGTGTTTGGGAAGCATGATATGAATATAACTTGTATAACTTATACTATATACACATGGGTGGATACTCAAAAGTTTGACCACATTTTTGGTTGGTGATGATTAGAAGCAAAGAGATGGTGTGGTAATTTACACGAATTCGGATCCTTCAAAATGAATAAATTATAATATGAGGACCAACAAATCACGGTAAAATCGCCGCGTAAATGGGTCAGTCAATGGAGGGTTTAGTCGCCAACATCCATTTTCAGGATGCACTCGGTAAATACATTCCATGAAGGATGTGGGTAATGATCGATACATCCTCCTGATTCACAAGCCATCATGGCCTCCTGATCCACTGATACTATGACTGATTTGAGGGTGCTCGAAGTGATTTTCAGAACATTGATTAAGAATGTTCATATGCATTATGCTAACAATGACCCATTTGTGGGATAGTAAATCACAGAATCTTTGGAGAATGGTTTGCAACATGTTGGCATGATTTAAGGTGATTCACCCAATATAAACCATGTTTGGGCGTGTCTTAAAACGGGAAATAACAACCAAAACCTTTGGACTTGAACGGATTTTTGGGGTACATACACAACTTTTGGAGAAACCCTCTCTTTCGGACAGAGAAACACGTAGGACTGAGCAATTTAGAACGATTCCCATTTGGAATCGCACTATGTTTCAGAATAATTTATACAGTAATTCCCAACAGCGAATCTGTTGGGTTTCAATCTCTGGGGCCGGGGACTGGTGACACAAAAATGCACGCCCCGAAAAACCGGAACAGTCCTGGAACCTTGCTGGAACCTTTCGCTGTTGGGTTGCAAAGCTGGGCTAGCTATACCCTATATTATATTATATTATATAATATAATATTATATTATATTATATTATATTTCATTATATTGAATGATTATATTATATTATATTTTATTATATTATATTATATTATATTATTATATTATATTTTATTATATTATATTTTATTATATTATATTATATTATATTATTATATTATATTTTATTATTATATTATATTATATTATATTATATTATTATATTATATTATTATATTATATTATATTATATTATGTATTTATTATATTACTCCATATTCAAAGTGCATGGCTCTGACCTACTTTTTCAGAGGTGGTTGCGCCATCTATTTAACAGTGAAAGAAATCAATCCCAAATTTACCCGAAACAGCAAATGTGCCAGAAGATGGCGCAACCCTACAAGTGCAAAATGGGCCAAATTGCGCCATCTACCTTATTTTTAATTTAAATTCCTTCTTCCGGGACCGGACATTTCGGTCATCAAAGCGTTGAAAAAGTAAGGGGGATGTGTGTTCAACAAAAGTTTTTCGGGGAAAGGATTTTTTCACCACTAAACTACTGAATAGATGGCGCAACCACCTGGGACAGTGCCATCCAATTGCATATTTGTCACGGAGAGATGGCTCAAGTCAAAACACCGAAGCATATTTGTCCTTCACTGCAATGTAGAAACACACTAGCAAACCTTTTTTGCAGAGAATGTAGGAACACACATCTGTGCTGTGGGCAAGTGCAGAACTGTGCAGCAGCGGCTAAAGAATTCAATATGAAGAAAGGCCGAATTCGAAATGCAAATTACAATGCCGACTAGTTTTCAGAGACCAGGGGGAAGAGAAAAAACGGAGCGCAACCGACTGGGTGAATGTTGCGGAGGCTTGGAAACTTTGGACTTAAGAATCCCTGCATAGATGGCGCAACCCTGAAACACATTGGCAACACATTCTGGCATAGATGGCGCGACCCACAAAAGTAAGGGGGATGGATGTCACGCCCTTCTCGGGTGTCAGTTCTCCTTTTTCCTTTTCTCCTTTCTCCTTTCCCTTTCTTTTTCTCCTTTTTCCGTTCTCCTTTCCCTTCTCCTTTCCCCTTTCCTTTACAAATGGAACGCAGTGGTACTCCAGGTTGAAAGTGCATGGCTCCGCCCAGAGGTGGTTGCGCCATCTATTTAACAGTGAACAAATCCTTTCCCAAATATTTATACCCGAAACAGCCAATGTGCCTGAAGATGGCGCAACCCTACATGTGCAAAATGCACAAATTTGCGCCATCTATCCCGTTTTAAATTTAATATCCTTCTTTCGGGAAAGGATTTTCGGTAATCAAAACTTTGATGAAAAAGGGCTCGGCCGGTTGAAGTCAAGTGTTGAAGGGAAAAACAATCATGTATAATGGATGGCGCAACCACCTGGGACAGTGCCATCCAGTTGCTCTTGAAAAGTCTTGCAAACAATGCCCCAAAAGGGAAGAACCCTACTTGAAACCATGACTGTGGATTGCGCCATCTATAGGTTACCGCTGCGTTCCATTTGTAAAGGGAAAGGAAATGGAGGAGGGAAAGGAGAAAAAAGGGGAAGGAGAAAGGGTCAGGAGAAAGGAGAAAGGAAAAAAGGAGAACAAAGAAGAAGAAAGGGAACGGAGAAAGGGAAAGGAGGAAGGGAAGGGGACAGGAGAAAAGGAAAGGGGAAAGGGAAAGGAGAAGGAGAAAGGGAAGAGAAAAAAATCGAGCGCAACCGACCGGGTGAATGTTGCGGAGGCTTGGAAACTTTGGACTTAAGAATCCCTGCATAGATGGCGCAACCCTGAAACACATTGGCAACACATTCTGGCATAGATGGCGCGACCCACAAAAGTAAGGGGGATGGATGTCACGCCCTCGGGGGGTGTCAAAATTCAAAAAGTCGGCGCCATCTATACGCGCACTTTGGAAGAGGGTGGGGCCATCTACTTTGAAAACGGTGTATATTATAGTATATTATATTATATTATATTTTATTATATTATATTATATTATATTATATGTTTTTATATTATACTATATTACATTAAGTTATATGATATGCTATTATATTATATTATACTATGTTATACTTTATTATATTATATTATATTATATTATATTTTTATGTGTTTATATATTGTATTATATTATATTATTTATATTATATTATGTATTTATATTTTATATGTTATATTTTATTACATTCTTATATTATGTATTTATATTTTATATATTATTTATATATATGATATTATATATATATATATTATACATAAGTATGTATGCGTTTGTGGATGTCCTGTTGAATTCGCCCGGTCGCAGGCATGGATGTGATGCTGGAAGAGTTGGATGAAGAGGAGTGAAACAGTGATGTTTACCCGTAAGCATGGCGATTTATAATGAATTATATGGCTTTTTAATGCTAATATATGGGTATATATATATATGGATTGATAATATGGATTTCTGCGGATTTCTATGAATTTATATGAATTTCTAAAATCATTGAAACATGGTTATTATTTACCCTAGGGGACACATTCAGATGTGGAACCTCACTATGCTTAACAGGTAATTCATCCATTTTCATAGGCCATGGCTTCGGCATCTATGTTACCGGGTCTCCGGATTTATAATGTTAGCTAAGTTGATTTAGTTCACTCCAATAACAGTGGCTGGCACCGGTTTCAAGGGGTTGATCCACTTGCGTATCGTGGCAGGATGCAGCCCCAAAGGGGACAACTTTGACCGAGTTTTTGCTCAAAAATGTCACCTTAAGTGCGAATTTTCGCACGTTTGCCCGCATCAATGCTCGATAGAATTCCAACAAAAACATGGTGCCGGCGCCTCTAAGGGGCCGTGCGTTTGTAAATGTTTCGATTCATGGTGATTTTGAGAATCACCAAAAAATGGTGGTTTTGAAGGATTTCATTTGAAATCGATATTAGAAAAAACATGCAAAACCTCTGCAAGGATTTGGTCAGGAAGTGTTTCTTGGACAACCCTTCCAACACTTCGCACACTTGTTTCACGTCTTTCTGGTGTATTTGTGGCACGTTACTGTAAATGCACGTTTTTTTGTATATAGATATATGTAAAGTAGCTTGAAGTGGTATTGGAAGCACAAGAAAAACTATCATGACATAGCATCAACTCTAAAGATGCTTTTGTGACGTAGCATCAAAAATGACAAGAAATTTATTATTTAGCGTAGCGCGCAGAAGATATGGAAGTGCTAGAGAACTTCTGAGAACATAGCAACAAGAAAAGTATTTAGCGTAGCGTGCAGAAGATGTGGAAGTACTAGAGAAGTTCTTATGACATAGCAAGAAGAAAAGTGTGTGACGTAACAGCAAGTGGGTGTGCAATGGTGTGCAAGTGCAAGGTCGTCATTGCACCAATCCACCCCACCCAACCCACCCCAACATGAAGTAATTAGAAAAAGATAGAACAAAAATAGACGGATAGAAACTAAAGCAAGACAATGGAGTAAAAAGTACACAAGCGCCCAGAACCATTGAGTCACGGCCCCTTTCAGGCAAAAACATGGTAGAAGTGAACCTATTCTGGTTGGTGGTTTGGAACATTTTTCCATATGGGAACAATCATCCCAACTGACTAATATTTTTCAGAGGGGTTGAAACCACCAAGCAGGTATTCTTTGAGGTGTCCTCTACAGCAAAGCGCAGGAGATCGATGACATGCTCGAAGTCCTTGCGCAAGAGGACGCCATCTGGGTGGATGGTTTCGCCGCGTCGCCAGATTATCCATGGTAATGGATGGTAATTTTATACCCCTGGTATCCACTGGGTTGTTGTGGTGTATTGGGCATAATGAGAACCCATAATTTCAAGGGTTTAATACTGATGATATACTTCTAAAGTTACTAGTATATAATTTGATACCCACGGTTTCTTTGGGACAATGATAGATAGCCCATAATGGACGCGGTATATTTCGTAGAGTAATCACTATAAACGGCTGGGATAAGGGCATGTTTCATGGCTCAAAGGGGTCCAAAAGGATAACCTCCATTGCCATGTTGAATTGCAGGAGCCCAGAAAAGGATGATAAATATTGAATGTTGTTTGTTTTCTGTCAAGTATGCTTGTGAGTGGTGTGAGAATTGGACCGCCAAATACATTGCTTCCTTTCCAAAGGCTTAAGTAGCCATGTAACCCATGTTAGTGACCTTGATCTGCAGCAATAATCATGAAGACAGAGGGTCGATCGAAACAATCAATTTTGCGTTGTCAGACTTCAAAATTGTCATTCAAAGCGAGATGAATAAATTCAGGCATGACTCCTCATAGTGGACATGGTGTCTAGAAGTGCAATGGTCATGGTAAAACATGTGCTCCTTCCCCGGGAAGAAGAGAGGTAAAATTGGTAGGGCCATGCCTTTGAACTACTGTGGGTGGCAATTGTTACCAACTTGGAGTTACCCCTCTACACATGATTACATACACTCCGGCAATCAAACATGGCAATGTGAAACCCACTATGGATAATGTCCCTTCATCCCATCAAGTATGAAAAATCCCACTAAGTCCATCTACCCTCTGCTTATTTAACATAGCCATGGAAAGATCCACCATTTTTAATAGGTAAACTAAGTAAACCATCTATAAATGGGCCATTTTCCATGGCTGTGTTAGTCATAACCAGATGGTAAATCCCATGATCTTCCCGGCTCCCATGGTTCCATCCCCATGGCAGGAGATTCTACGGGCTCAGGCCAAATGGATCTGCGTCTCGCGCTGGCTGGCCTCCGTGCTAGGACGGTCGTTGCCGGCCGGTCGTTCCCGGCCGTCGTGGTCGTTTTCGTTGCTGGGGGACGTTCACCAAACGAGCCAACCACTGGTTGATGATAGACACACCAAAAAAAGCCTCCAGCATGATTACGCTGCCATGAGTTGGGGGCACTGTTTTCTTCTCAAGGACGGGGCTCAGGGTCTCCAACTATACATTTATATACATTTGTCGCAATCGTATATATATTTATCATGAATTTATGGCGCTTATTACGTTGCAGTAACAATGCTAAACTCAAAAATAACGGAGATTAATCATGATGGTGCATACACTAAATAACAAATGTATACAACACATGCATATAGTTAAATTTTGTCAGTATAGTGACGATTGACGATAAACACACCAAAAATTGATGAAAGCTGCTACCAGTTGTGATGAAACCGGCTGTGACACAGCCGACTTCTTGGGATGCTTCACTGCTGAAGTACGGTAGCTCCACTACCGTACATTTGATGCGCCGCAGGGTTGTCGAAAGAGATATCTTAAAAGGTTTAGTTAGCCAGGAACCCTTCATATATCTTTCTATCAAAATGTGACTCTATACTGCGTGTGAATACATATATATATATACATATGATCATATGTGAGTGTGTATGTACATGTGTTACTATATGTAATCATATATGTTCATGAATTATCATGGTTTATGTATATATATAATTATGAATAGTATATATACATATATATATATATATATCTAGGTAAATATGTCTCATCTTGTGAATATATATATATATATATTTACACAGAATATTCATGAATATATATTATATCTGGATAATTGTTGTTTCTTGGGATCCAACGGGGGTGTGAACTTCGCTCCCTGGTGACACCACAGTGTTCACCACAGTGTTCACCCCGTGTTCACCCCGTGTTCACCGGATCGCCAGAGGAGCTTCCAGTTTGGAAAATGAAGGGCAAGAACGCGCCAAAACTTGGGAAGATGAACGGCAGCAGGTCTGCGCAGCTATCGTCGCCGACCACATTTGATGCTGCTGATAGCTATGCTGCATTTATGGTGGATATATCTGTTGAATGGAATGGGCTTCTCAATTATAAACCTAATAAACCAACTTATATGTGGAGGGAGCCACTTCACACAGGGAAGTTGCAACTCCATTTGTCCCCATCTCAGTGACTTGAATCCTGCCGGTTGAACTCACAGTCGAAACTATGTTTCGATGGTCCACGCTGACACGATACCATCATATACTATCCCTTGGGGATATAGAATGTTTACCAATTTACCAGCTTTGTTTTCAAGAATGCCAAGTGTTATGTAGGTATATGCCCAAATTTACAACTAACGCGGAGCATCAGGTAGCATAAAATCTCTTCGTTTTGCCCATAGGCCTATGATGCGGTGGAGCAGGCACAGCTGGCTGGGGAACAACAAAGTATAACAGTAAGGGTTTGTTCTGGGAAACATGGGATTTACTGTAACAATGATTTGATTTAATGGGAACTAATGGGATAAATAAGCAACATTCACCAACACTATGAGACTGGGTGTGGACCTGACAATTATGGTGAGTATACTTCCAGTTCTGGCCAGCTTAACTGGGAACATGATGATGAACCGCTGGATTTGGGGCAGTAGCCTATTTTCATACACCCCCATATGAAACATATAGACGTGATATGAAGTGATGTCACGTTTTCCCATAAAAGGAGGTTAGGAGGACACCATTTTCTTCACATCAAAATCGGTCCTCGCAATGATCTCGCATGGATGCTGAAAATTAATTGGGGGATGGTCAGACCATGGTCATCTCCCTTTAAAAACTGGGGGAATTCCCAAGAAAAATCATTGGATGACCAGATCAAATACCCATGGGATATGGAGGTTTCCTGAAATCGGGGGGCACCCCTAAATCATCCATTTGTAGATTGATTTTCCATGAAATAAACAATCCATCCATTTTGGGGTACCCCCATGAATATGGAAACCACACGAATGGCCATCCCAAAGCAGTAGGCAGTGCTGGTTCCAATGGCAGCAGCACTTCCCGCAGTCTTCACAGCCCAGGAGTTGGGGCGTTTCAAAAACCCTGGTGAACAGCTATACGTATATTTCATGGGTTTCATGGATTAAGGACCATTTTTTCATGGCTTTCAGCATGTTTCAACCATTTAACAAAGCAACAGATGATGGAATTGTGGGTTGACTTTTGTTGTTTTTCGGTGTTCTAAAAGCATATGTATTGGGGATTGTTTGATTCCCATGAAGCGGGTGGGAATCACCAGTAAGAACTCGTTTTGGAGGGTGTGGTGGGATGGCAAGACCACAGCGAAAAATCGCAAGAGTTTGCTGCCACAAGATGCCGAACATGTATGTTGTTTTACTTGAAAGACCCTTGATTGGGTTCATCAACAAACAATCGCACAAATATATTTTCCTATGTTCAAACCCCAATTGCTTGATCTTGAGCTGTATGTTGGATGTACCAGAATTAACTGATATACAGTTACTTGAATTGAACATATATCTAGAGAGTGGGACGCTATGGAGACCCCATTATTACGATGTGTTTAACGTTTATAATATATATATATATATATTATATTTTGCGAACATATAATATATATATATATATATATTATGTTTATATTATATATATATATATTCATCAATTGTTAATGATTCCCTTTTATGATACTTTGAATTATACGTCCCTTTGAACACATATCTACATATAGTATTTTTATAAGCTATTTATAATGAATTCACAAAGGAAAGGGTTGAACTTGCACAGCTACAGGACTCGGGAGCTGTCTCCGGTTCCATGGAGGAGCCGGGGTTATGCTTCCAGCTATGCTTCAGATGGGGTGAATATCCAGCTATTAGCTCAGATGGTGTGACAGTGACAACATTTTGCCAACCGGGGTATCTGGTATATATGTATATAATATGTATATATATATATATGTATATAATACCAGAACTCTGTTTCTAGAACTTACAGCCCAGCCACTGGAAGTTGGCCAAGTATTTGATCCCTGACAGATTCTGGTCGTTTCCCGGCCTTGCTTGATCCCCTTTCAAGCCTTGGGCAGTTCAACGGTGAAATTCACGCCCAAATTTGGTTGTTTTATATACACTTTCCAGATACGACAAGATTTTGAGAAGCACGTACCTACCATTTGGCACCAAACCTAAAAGTGAGCATTTCCAATAGAAACTGATTTTCCTGACCTAGAGATCCCTGTTAAGCATGTGTTCAGTTCTTCGTGGGGATATGTTCCATGGTCATATTTGGCTGTCCGTCCCTAAGCATCAATAAACTGCAGACCACTGGGCACGAAATCACAAGGGGATTCCTTTTTTTTTGGAGGGCCAGTTTTGAATGGTAATTTGAATAGTGTCTGTGGGTCAAAAGATAAGCCGCGGGATTCACAGAAATAACACGTATTTGCTGGACGTGTTTGTCACACGATCCAGAAAGAGGCAGTAGAAGCACTAAAAAGATGGTTTTGCCACGGATAATGATTTTTTTTGGCCGCAATTTCCAGAGTGGCTCCCTTTCCAGCCATACCTTGGCACAATGCTCTTTACGCGGCTGCCATCGATGGTGAGTTGACCATTTTCGCCCTGGATTCCGAGTCAGGGTTGTCCCACAAATCAGTCAATTGACAACATTGAAGTACCCAGGAACTGAAAACAAGCGATTTGTGAATTAGATTCAAATCTATGGAAAACCAGCACTGGTCTTACCCATGCTTCATCATCATTTTTTTCTGGATGAATACTGAACTTCAACAGCCTCACTGCGACATCACTAGAACTGATTGTGCATGTAAGGGCAACTATCCCCAAATTGCCTTATCTCATGTGAATCATTAGAATTGATATGAATTGATCATAATTTCTCCAGATTTATCGTGTTGTTTCAATATCTTCACCACGTTTTTATGCGCACCAGGTTTTTCGCCGGTTTTACCTGGGCCCAGGAGGATGCCTCCAAACCCACAGCTCTTCTGGCGGGTGAAGAGCTGGACCATCAGCTGGAAAAGCTGTTCCAAGAGGAAGCCACTGAGGATGGCGACTCTTGGCTGACGCTTGGGGCTGCCAAAGAAGATCAAAGAAGGCAGGTAAAAAGATGATAAGATCATATAAGATCTCACTATATATCTTTGGTGGAAATGAACTGTTTTCAAAGGTACCAAGGTTCCATCAGGTTAGACATGCATTCATATTTGAGATATCATCATATGATTCATATGATACCTCTTTCAAGATGTACCTTTCATTGCCCCCCTTTCCAGTACAGTAACCCCGAAAAACACCACGTTGCTCACGTCCTTGTCCGAGGGCAGAAAGATCCTGGACAGATCTGCCACCCGTCATTTCTTCGAAGATCTCATGCTGGCGGACTTCAAGTCGCCTGACTTTGCTGCAGAGGGGGTTCCATGGCAATTCTAACATGTCTAAACAACCATTTCATGGTGATTTCATGGGATTTAATTGGATTAATGAGATCAGATTGGAATCATGAAATATAAGTAATTAGCCATATGAATCCACCACGGGGATAAGTTTACGGGAATTGTGGCCCTGCATTGAAGGTGCAGACATGGAAATAGACTTTTGATTTAATCAATATATATATATATATACGATTATATACGTGTATATATATATATATATATACATATCAATATATAATAATTGTATGTACCGGGCCCCTAGTGGATAGGTCACTTGGTGGTGATTGCAATCATCTTTTCCCATCTTTTCCCAGCAAAGATGCGGAACTCACCTCCAAATCTACTGTTTGAGATGGAGCCGGACGTTTTCTGTCTGCGCATCTACGACGCACAAGTTTAAAATTTGTTTTGCATGTTTGTTGATGATGGATGCTGTTGAAAAAGATTACAGGCTGCTTCTTGCTGAGGAAGTGCACATTCTGTTTGAATGGTAACTATCTATAATCAATATTAATCAATAGACCATTTCAAGTGACCTTATTACCCCTTGGTTTTAAGGTCACAGCTCCTAGGTCTTTGGGTCGCATTTCCCAACGGATGCCGAACAGTGTTTCCCGGATGTGGAAAAGATGATGTTTCCACCATCATTTCCAGGTTTCCAGGATATTTTCTATCTATGGGGGTTGCTGTGGCTGGCGGTTCATCCTGCTTAGTAAGTAGGTTAATGTAGGTTATAATATGTTATAATCCCATATGGATTAAGCATATTTATCCCCACTTATAACCCGGGACATCACCTTCTTCCGATACCTCACCCTGCCACCTGAGGTGGCACCAGAAGTTGCGCATGGTGATCCTGGACAGGCCGGACAGGATACAACTATGGAAGGTATGTGGACGTTTACTGGATCCATGGGACTGGGAGTGGAATATCTGAGAAATCTTTGGGGAATAATCTACGGTCAACTTTATGGTAAACTCTATTATTATAAACTTAAATAATCCCCAAGTTTGAGATTTATGCAATTTTTGTATACGCCAAATATGACCGGGATGGTTTACGGCATTGGGTTTACCTCACTATCCAAAATGAAACGGAACATTTAAATCCTATACCTTTGGGGTTGATAATGGACCTACAGTAGTTTTCATGGCTTTATATTAAATATGTTCAGTGTATGGAGGCTTGAACAAGTCAATACTTGTAGCTCCCAAATATGAAATTCACCCCCCGAGGCTTCGAAGTCATGAGTAGATCCAATCAATCTTACCAGAGGTTTGTTTGGGCTACGGGATGAATAAAGTGGGGCTGCAGGAATAGAGGATACTATGGAGGATTCACTGGCGATTACAACAGGCGGTTGAGCAATCGCCCTATCAATGATGGTCCAACATACGGTGACGGGGTAGACAAAACAGGTTAGTGGCCCAACAATTTTTTTTTGACTATAAAATAAGGGGGTTGACCATCAAAAAAATGGCCATATATATATGATAAATAACGGCTGTTTGACGATGACACCGGGTTTTATACCAACAGATTTATCATCATCCATGAACTGGGATTCCCGTCTAACCAACCTTTATCTTGGGTTTGGCACAGATGATCAACTCCGAGATTTAGAGCAGAAATAACGAAGGCAGGTCACAGTTGTCACGGATGCCAGGCTGTATGATGATACCCTGAACATCCAGAAGGACTTTTCCACGGAGGGTCCGGTGATGACGATGTCCATCAAATCGAATAACCATCATTTTGAAGCATATCGAGTAAGGAATTATCCTGGGATACATGGGGACTCAATCGGATATAACTTAATACCTGGACCTTCCATAGTTCAAGAACTATTGAACTTGTTTGTTTTGGGCCAACTTTACCTGCAAAAGTTCAAGTTTGGCTCAACAGGTGCAAAAAGGCCAAAAAGTTCAAATAGTTCAATTCTTATCAATTCTTGGCTCATCCTGGTTAAGATCAATTTGAACCAGGTATGCATTTTACCTCCCCAAAAAAACGATTTCATGTTGAACATCAACAAACTATTTCCTTGACCTCTGTTGAGGTTTTTTGGGCGACTTTTGGGTAGATGCAGATTTGCCTAGAGTATATAGATTCTGCCTTCTTGCCCACCATAGGGATTCAAAATCCAGGGGGTGTGGGGGCATACTCTATTCTAGAAACCCAGATGATCCCCGATGTGTGAAGGAAGAAAGTCACGTCATCAAGATTCATCAAGCATGTTCCATCATGTTCTCACGGAATTCATTTTTTTCAAAGGGGGAACTACCCGCAAAAAATGCGCAAATCCCCGCAAAAAGTACGCACATTCCCGCAAAAGGACGCAAATCGGGATTTCTTCACTTTTGGAAATCAGGGTTCAACAAACTTCTACCGGTTGATGGCTGACCTTCAACCAAACTTACCATGTCTGGATCAGGGGGTGCAAGAAACGAAAAAATGCGCAATGTTCGCAGAGGCGTTTGTGAAATTAAGCGATCAGGTAACACCACTTTAATTCTGCAAGCATGCTGGTTTGAACTCTGCTTATTTTATTGCAGTTTGGGGATGTACGAAGTCCAGTTCAATATGATCTCGGACATTGTGTAACAGAATGCTGTGAACACTGCACTTGGGGAAAAGACTGCCAGAATGCACTTGGGGATGGAAGAGGTATATGGATAGTTCATTTTTTCCCAGAATAGTTGAGTTTTGCCTCAAAAAGTGCGAAGAATGTAGTGCAGAAATGCCAAAAGTGAAGAAACAAATCCTCACTTTGGAAGGATCAGTTAGAACTGAATGGTATAACCAACGCGGTGAGACTTTGGGTGTGCAGATGGGGGAGGCCCCCAGCACAATTTTAATTTTAATAGGGGAAGTATGTCGACTGTAGTCAGACTATGATAAGCCAAGGGATGCCAAGGGGTTCTCTATTGTCTATATATTATATAATCATAATCATATCTATATATGTAGAGTAAGGGCTTTCCTCTTCAGCATTCTTATATTCTTCACCACTGTATCCCGCATTGTGATTTTTGTGCACATTCAAACCCAAGCATTGACCTCAATGTTCACTTGACTAAGACTATTCCTTTGCCTATAAAGCAAGAACTCCCAAGAATTGTCCACATTGTGATTCGTTCGCATTTTCTTTTTCAGCTGAGTGATCCCAATCCATTCTGAAAACTCGCCAGCCTTTCGTGGGGCCATGCCCAGTTGCAGGTGGTCGTCCCCCAATTGAGGTTCCTACACCTTGACCCTCAAAGGCTAAACATAAACTATAAAGGTTTCAAAAGCTGAACAGTCTTACTTAAGTTGAATATATATATATATATAAGAGAACAATCGAGAACATACACTATCTTTCTTTATCTATTTTCATTATTTATACCATATGTATATATATATATACATGTTAAATCATGTTAATACCATGTATTATTTTCTTCTGTTTTCCATATAGTTTCCTAATATGCCTCGCGCGGCGTAGGAGGAAAGTGGCTTGGCCAAAGGCCTGACCTTTCGGTCCTTGAAGGTGGTCCTGCACCGTATGCTGCGGGATCACGCGGAACACTGGATGGAGTCCTTCAGGTGGACGGTGGGGACTGGTGCGCCTGGATCTTACCAATGTTTTTTGGGATTTAATAGTAAGATTTATGATGTTTCAATCTGATTTATATAATATGAATTAATCTGGTTTAATATGATTCAATATACCAGTAGTACCGCACAAGGCGGTGGCGGAAGTTTCAAAAATAGTAAACCTATAGGGGAGGTTGGTTGTTGTGAATCACGGATGGCAGAGCGAATCCGCTGATGGACCGAAAGGTGGTTGGAGTTGTGTTTACTGGAGTGGCTGCAATGGTTGCAGTGGTCACCTCACCACAACAGCTGGATGTAGTGTGGTGTAGCGCAGTTGTAGTTGTAGTTGTAGCGTAGTGAAGTTGTAGTTTTAAGCTGTAGTTGTAAAGTAGTGTAATTAGTGTAGTGTAGTTGCAGTTGCAGTCGTAGTTGTGGTGTGGTGTAATTAGTGTAGTGTATTGTGTGGTGCACTGTAGTGTTGTGTACTGTAGCGTGGTACAGTGTAGTGTAGTCTAGTGTATTGTAGTCTAAAGTAGTGTAGTTGTAGTTGTAGTGTAGCGTCGTGTAGTGCAATGTAGTGGTAGTTGCAGTTGTAGCGTAATGTAATGTAATTAGTGTAGTGTAGTGTTGTGTAATGTAGTATTTGTAGCTGTAATGTACTGCGGTTTAATTATAGTGTATCTGCAATTGAAATTGTAGTTGTAGCTGTGGTGGTGGTGGTGGTGGTGGTGGTGGTGGTGGTAGTGGTAGTAGTAAGTAGTGGTGGTAGTAGTAGTAGTAGTAGTCGTAGTCGTAGTGGTAGTAGTGGTCGTAGTGGTCGTAGTGGTCGTAGTGGTCGTAGTGGTCGTAGTGGTAGTAGTGGTAGTAGTGGTAGTAGTGGTAGTAGTGGTAGTAGTGGTAGTAGTGGTAGTAGTGGTAGTAGTGGTAGTAGTGGTAGTAGTGGTAGTAGTGGTAGTAGTAGCAGCAGCAGCAGTAGTAGTTGTAGTAGTAGTAGTAGTTGTAGGTAGTAGTAGTAGTAGTAGTAGTAGTAGTTGTAGGTAGTAGTAGTAGTAGTAGTAGTAGTAGTAGTAGTAGTAGTAGTAGTAGTAGTAGTAGTAGTACTAGTAGTAGTAGTAGTAGTAGTAGTAGTAGTAATAGTAGTAGTAGTAGTTCGAGTAACTAGTAGTAGTAGTAGTAGTAGTAGCAGCTGCTGTAGAAGTTGCAGTAGTTGCAGTAGTTGTAGTAGTTGTAGTAGTTGTAGTAGTTGTAGTAGTTGTAGTAGTTGCAGTGTAGTGTAATTGGATGGAATTCGATGTAATTTAGCGTAGTGTAGTCTAATTAGTGTTGTGTAATGTAGCGTAGTATATTTGTACTTGCAGTTGTAGAGTGTACAGGTACTTGTAGTTGCAGTTGCAGTTGTTGCAAGCTGGAAAACGAAGCTATTCTACGAGACTTCCTGATTTTTTGAACTTGACAACATCAAAAACGGAGCAATTCAGCGAGACTTCTTCAATTTTTGAACTAAACAACGTCAAAAACGAAAGAATTCTGCGAGACTTCTTCATTTTTTGAACTTGACAGCATCCAAAACGAAGCAATTCTGCGAGACTTCCTTCAAAAATTGAAAGTTGAGTGCAGAGCTGACGGCCTCGTGCCAATGCGTTTTGCGATTTTTCGACTCCACCTGTCTAAACTACTGCGCCTGCCACGAAAAAGTGATACCGGGTCATACGAAGTGCTGCACCTGTCACGCAAAATCACCTTCCCAAAACTGAAGATCTGGTGCTCCAAAATGCAACCCCTCTCAGGACATCAGCGCCCTGACCTCCTAACATCTCTGATAAACATGTCTCTTGTACTGCGCCTGCCACGGAAAATTTATCTTTGCAGATCCTCTTCAAATGTCCCACCCCTGCCATCGTTTTTGGACATGCTACAAAACCCTCACGCTTTGCTCACTTTTGACAAGGTGCACAATCCCTTGCGCCGCTTCGGGAAACGACATCTGAACGTCCAAAAGTGGCCCGAACCCCTGGTGTTTTTAAACATTTTGACTTCGAAATGTGCTTCGCGCCACAACGGCGTGCACTTTTTCGACATCTCAACTTCCAAAAGTGGTCCGGAGCTGGTGTGTTTTCTGCATTTTGACTTCGACATGTGCTTCGCACCACAACGGCGTGCACTTTTTCGACATCTCAACTTCTAAAAGTTCTCCGAAGCTGAGGTGTTTTGCACATTTTGACTTCGACATGCGTTCGCGCCACAACGGCGTGCACTTTTTCGACATCGTAACTTCCAAAAGTGGTCCGAAGCTGGTGTGCTTTATACATTTTGACTTGGAAATGTGCTTCGCGCCACAACGGCGTGCAATTGTTCATCTCTCATCTGGCCAGCTGGCTCCGCACCCGTCGCTTTAGCGAGCCTACTTTTCGACCCTCCGGAGCCACAAATCATTGGAAAAAACACAGTGTTTCGCGACTTTCCTACCTTTTCGCGCACCTGGATCTTCTTTCTTCGGAGACTTTCTCTTTCTTGATCTTCTTTCCTCTTCTCTTCTCTTCTCTGACTCTTCCCATCTCTGCTTTTCACCTGTCCATATTGTCGGAAGTTTGGCTTTAAACTTCCTTCGGTCATATATATGTTTTGTTTGATGTGATTGTGATATATACGTGGATATACTTTTAGGCTTATTTGACACGTACAAAAAGCGCCGGAATCAAACACTGTTTTTTTTATAAAGTAGCCCTGACATTTTGAGGCAGGACATCCAAAATGACGTTTTCGAGAAAAGTGATTGTGAGGTCTTTGGAACTATGGCTCACCACCCGTACAATTGACTGACAGGCATGTGATCCCTATACCCTGAGCGTTACAAATTCCTGTTTCTTCATGGATGCCGCGAGTCAATGAACTGAAAAATTAATGGGACATGAATTATGAGAAAATGTTATGTTGGGAAATTATGCCGTAATGTTTGGAAATTACGACGTAAACATTTGGTGATTTTTCCAAGAGGTTCTGTTTTGCGGGGGAAACAATCTGGAAAGCCAGACCCAGAGTCAAGACATCGCGGTCCAGACACATCCCAATGAAAACGACGTAGCTCAAAAATAATTACGACGTCGCTCCTGGAATTACACCGCGCATACAAAATGGCTAAAGATGGCTAAAGTATTAAAGAGTGGCTTTTGGGGCAATCCCATTGCACTCAAACCCACCTAGACTCTCAGCGTTTCGATAGTAGAATTGACATGTTACCCCCATCGTATCCTACGTGTATCATTTTGTAACCATGTTTATAGTATAGGGTAAATTTAGGGTTTTGGTACTGGGAACGAAGACGAAGGATCTCACCAAGATTTGAGAGTCGGACGGCGAAGATATGGAACAACGAGGAAAGAACATGTTTGTTTTCGGGTCAGATGATGTTGTCTTGTTGTTTGGGCATAACTGTAGAAAATTATTTCCCTGATGCATCACCCAGACAATATTCAGGCATGGATTTCGTTGGAACTTGCATCGAATGAATTTCCATCTTGTTGCAACCTTGGGCCCTCAGGACAAACATCGAACGTCAAATGAACAAGCGAAACAAAGCTGTGCAGCACTCAGGATGTTTGCAATCTGAGTTTGCCACAAGATGTTTGACCCAAAAAACCAACGTGGATGGTGCAATCCTTCAAAGTTGTGTGCCTATTGGGATGAATGAACACCGTAACCATCTCTGGGAACCCCTGGGTGAAGCCCCATCCCAGAGATGCTGTGCTAAGGCACCTGGTAAACCAAGTCGCCCCGGTCGCCCTTGAAGGTCCAGATGGAATGAGATTTTCTGGGGGTGCCTGGTATAGCCTGGTACAGCCTGGTATAGCCTGGTATAGCCTGGTATAGCCTGGTATAGCGCTACAAGAATTGGGGAGTTCATGGGATTTCAATGGGATTTCACTGGATTTAGTATAGTATTCAATGGGATGTATGAGATTCAATGGGATTGACGGAGGGTACCCCCAACACCTTGGGGGTGAAACCATGGGCAGTTCATGTTTTCTCGAGGCCAAGAAGCCGAAGACCGCGAATCCAGTTGAGAGTGCCAGTGCGGACCATGCCACAGCTGCCCCTTTATGGGGGCAGTTGTCAAGGTGGCAAAAGCATGTTTTTTTCTTTGCCAAGGTCCGAAAACTATCTCAAGCCTCTCACAAAGTGAGACAAAGAGTTGAGACAGTGACGCGTCCGGCCGTGCAAGTTGAAAAGGACTTCAGGTCTGAGACGGTCGACCATTACTTGGTCAAAACTCCAAACACGAGGTTCAGAAGCATTGTTTCATGTGTGGATAGAAGTTGTATTTCGCATTGTGTCTTTCAATCGAGGGGCTATCTCTGTACAAATCAGAACGACCTCACACGAAAGGAGCCCCAACCGCCCCAAATATTGGGCAAGTTGGCTTTTGGATATTCGTGATTCATGGTACCAATCCAGTTGGCTGGGTGAAGAGCCTCACTTCCTCCGGGGCTCAATCTTTTGGTTTCAATATGTTTCAATCTTTCTTCGTTTTCAACATGGAAATGGGGGTGATCCCCAAGTGTCTCTCCGAAAAAAATAAGGGTTCGGTCAACCACCACGCAGAAAAGGTGTAACATGGTGTAACTATCTCTCACTTCGAGGCTCTGGCACATGCAGCGAAAGACTGCGAGCCGCATGTTCACGGCCTGGAACGCAGACTTCGACCAACTGGATGAGTGGGCCATAAAAATGGGCTACAAGTGGCTCACAAGAAGTAAGGACTCTTGCTTCAAATGTGACATTGGTCCGTATTAGTCCTAGATTTGCTGAAGATGATTTGTTATTTTCCCACTGGGAAATTAACTATAGGCCCTACTTGCAGGGTATAAGTATACAAGGAATATAATAGATTATTACCGAACCAGTTTACTGTTGCAGTTCTCAATTCTTTCTTAAGAGGTGTCAAGCTCTTTCCAGGTGGTGGTGTCCGGCTCTCCATGTGTCTCCCACTTCATTTGTCTCCCAGTCTGGCTGATGGTGTCCGGCTCTCCGGCTGTTTGTCTTCACTTGTTTCCCTTGTCTCGGAATTCATTTGTCTCCCAGTCACCCAATTCATTTGTCTCCTAGTCTGGCTGGTGGTGCTCTCCGGATGTCTTCCCATTTATTTGTCCCTCAGTCTGGCTCATGGTGTCCGACTTCAGTCACTTGCCTCCCAGTCTGGCTGGTGGTGTGACGCTCTCTCGCTGTTTGTTTGCACTTGTCGCCCCTTCATCTGTCTCCCAGCATGCCTAATGGCCTAATGGTGATCGGCTGTCCATCTCTCCGGATGTCTTTCTTCATTTGTCTTCCTGATTCTTCCTGCATGTCTCTCCCACTGTCTCCCAGTCTGGCCGGCGGTGTCCACCTCTTTGGTTGTCTCTCTTCACTTGTCTGTCACCGATCATATGACGGCCTTAGTGGCAGTGTCCTGTTCTAGTTTCATCATGATTTCATTTGTGTTTCGTGTTTGTCTCTGTTCTTTACTTCCTTTGTGTTTTCTTGTTGTCTCAAGAAAAAATCATGTTACACCATGTTTTGACTGTTGTTTGTGTGTTACAATGTTTTACCACTTGTCTCCCACTTGTCTCCTACCTTGTCTCCCTCTTATTGTCTCAGATACAATGGCGTGGCAAAAAATAGTAACCATGTGGCATCAGAAAATGTTGCTTGTGATTCATGCTGTTCTCAATTGATATTGATCCAAGATTGCCAGCGTCAGGAGCTAGCATAACTACAAACATGCGCACATACGCTGCAAATGATATGGAATAACTGGGATCTACGGTAATGATATGGGTGTAATTTCTGGTGATCCGCAAATCCAAGTAGTTGTGAGCCAGCCTGGATCCAATTTCCTACTGAGGCCCAACGCTTCAAGGACCACATTTGGCATGTGGTCCAGAAGAATTCTGCCAAGGTCCAGAGGCACCATGGTGAAACACCGGGGGATGGGAGTTCCACCATGGTAAAAACCAACAAAACTGGAGGTTTCCATAAATGGTACCCCCAAATTCATGGTTGGTTTAATTTTGGAACATCCGAATGGATGATTTAGGGGTAACCATGGGTAACCCCCATGGCAACCACCTCACGTCGCGACGTCACTTTTTTGTGGTTGTTCAATAGGGTCAATGAGATGTTGTAAACATATGTATATAGATGGGATGATATTTGGGATTTGGGTGCGTCTGAGAATGGTGTATACTACCCAAATGACAAATTCAGGAGGGAAACTGATGACAAACCATTGAGTCTTGCGGCACCCTATTTTCAGCCATTTGGGTCAGCTATAGGTAGACTACATGAGACTACAGTATTCCCACTAATGGTACTGTATCATACTTGTCCATGAGTCCATCCCAGAATCTCAGCTCATCTCATCTCCATCCAAGCTTGTCCGCGAGTTGTTGGAAGATTGGCGGGTTTCACCTCTGTGTATTAGGTATCTACGGTATCTGGAGTGTTGTGAGCAACCCTGTTACATAGATGTGCCGGAATCCAGGCACAGACATATACACCTGCCACTGTTCAAAGATGTTCTAGATTCTAAATCATACGTTGGTTATGAATCTAGTTGGAAAATGTTGGAAGTTAGTATACCTTTTTTTGTGTTTTTTGGGGAATACCGATGTATATGGTCCAATATGGATTTTCTGAAACAATGGTAAAGAAAAGGTTAATCGCCATTGTCTCCATGAAAATGACGCAGAGATCCCCATTTCTGGACCAACCTGTGTTATCTTCTCCGTTCAATCTGGATAAACCATCACGACCACGACCTCAGGACGCAATCCCAACGGAGCCGCACTTTTCAGGTTAGTGAACGACTATGATTTCTCCAAATCCCTATACTTTCATTTTAAAATCCTATCAAAATCCTGAAACTATCTTCTAAAACGGTTATTTTTCATTATGTTCCCCTCCATTTTCCTATCAACATCCTATTGGTCCCCAGAAATTTGCGTTGCCAGTTTGTTGACCGATGCTGCAGACACACAAGAGACCGCCAGGAGCTTGGGAACAGAGGATGTCAAGCCATTTCTTGGGATGAATGGCTGGGATTTAGCCCTCAATTCTCAGGGTTTTATGAATATTTGTGAATGTCTATGAGGGTTGAATATATATCATAGTCATAGACCTATGGGGAGTAATTGGTAACTGATGGTTGGTTATTATGGGTTTTTGAAGCTGACTTATTGGGGACCAAGATAACCCATGACGGGTATACCAGTATACCTATCACCTGACCAGTGTAATAGGAGGGGACAGCGGGATGATTCGTGGCTCAAATGGGTTTGTGCCAAAATTTGGTCTACTGTGACTTCCTGAGTATCCGTAAAGAATAACCGTATGTAAAAGCCCAAAAATATATATAAAAGCCTCCAACTAGACGACGGATGGCCCGAGAGCGTAGAAGAGCATGTTCCTCTCTTGTAAGTAGTATCAAAGACATTGTAGGTGAAAGCTTCATTGAAGATTATGCAGATGATCGGCAGAAAGGAGATAGACATGCTATGTCAGATTCTAAGCAGAAGCAGACAAAGATGGACACAAAATTTGAGAGACCGACAGAGACAGACAGCAAATAAACACATACACACAGACACACAAACAAAGATACAGACGCACACACACACACGGTACACAGACAGACACCACACGCACACACACACAAACAGAACACAAAGAGGAAGACACATACACGCACACACAGGCACAGACACACACGCACACAAAGAGGAAGACACATACACGCACACACGCACACAGGCACAGACACACAGGCACACAAAGAGACAGACACGGGACGCACAAACAGACACGCAGACAGACACCAGGACACACACACACACAATTTTTGACAGACCCCCACTATTGGAAGAACCCTTCGATCAGACGCTCTCGGGAAAAAATGGTGTGGTGAAGTACTAGTTCCATCTATATATTTCCATCTTGGTAGGTTCTTTGAAGGCTTTGGCACCCAAGAAATTAGATGGTTGACACAAGAAAGCAGCCGCGCAATTTGTGCCAAGGGAATTGAATCTGGTGGATGACCCATTCTTTTCAGCCACCAAGCAGTTGGCCCCCTACGGGCCCCACTTAATTGGGAAAGTGATAGCAACCTAAACCGAATACGATAGCTTGCAAAACTTTGTGCAGGCAAGATCTTCATGAATTTAGTGGCCAACGCGCCTCAGCTTTGGGAATGCTATCATCGGTTGATATGCTCCATGATGCTCCATGTATAATATATTTACCTGTATACATCTGTAAACTGCATACATGACTGGGTATGTTTTGTGTAAATGTTGCCAAACATTCGAGCACCATGGAACATTTGGGTATCATACATTGCTCTCCAGGTCTGGAGTGTTGATAATCCCTTCCCCCAAATATTGAAAACCCCCTTAGAAGCCTTAGCCTAGGGTTGGAACCATCATTTGCGAATCCCATATACCAACAAATATATATATATGATCTTGCCATATCACCTATGTTACTTCCACATAATTCCACTTATTATTTCGGTATCAAATCATCATCCTTCTCATCTAAATAGATTTTGTCAGAAAATGCCAAATTTGTCTCAACGGGTTGTTTCTCATCGACCACTTTTTGATCCCCCCGCCAACACTCTTAGGTGGACGTGTTCCGTTTGATGAATCGCTGGGGGAGCTCAGGATTTTTCTGATGGAAACATTGGATCTTCACTGAGAGAATTGAGAAGGTAAATTTCACTATTTGATTTAGACTCCCGAAAATCAATTCTCACTTCACTTAAATGGAGATGCTAAATGCCTTGGGTCACAAAAAAGACCGATGAAACTATATCAGAAATGTTCGAGGAAAGTACCGGCTCTTGATGGATAAATCTAGGAGGAGCTATTTGAGATGATGAGATGTAAATGATGGAACAATCCCTGGATGCACAGCAGGTGCAACGATTGGCCTTATATTTGGCTACTGAAGATGAGGATACCGTGGGATATCCATAAAATGTATTAAAATGGCAGTTTCGATGGAACATGAGATTCTAAATAAAATTGGGGGGAACCGGGGGAACCCATATCTGCTCCAAAAAACTGTCTTCTAATGGTAATCTGTTGCTGGGACAAGACAGGACCCACCTGACAACTTGAGGTTTCACTTTGGATACCATTGGAGAGATTGGATTTGGCACCGACATTGGATCGCTGGACGCCTGAAACTTAGATCCGATCTCGCTGGCCTGACTTGCGCGTGGATATCATC